TTCAGTAAACGAGCACATGTGTCAATTTCTTTTAGAAGACAAATATATACCTTGAACAAGCCGTCATACAGATGGAGTCCAATTAATCTACAATCTGGATCAATTATGCCAATCTACAAAATCCAGTGTCAAATCAGAAGTAAGCTACATGACTACCAAACCCTTAATCACAAGGCATATTTTTTAATGAAGAAAAGTATATAAAATTAAGCACTCTGAAACGAACAGTGCAAGAAGGTGATTTTTAATACCTGACCATTGTCTGTTGGTCGGCCTATACGATCTGAAACATCCCCCATTGCTCTGCAAAATGTCAAAATAATATAAAGAATCAGTAGTAAAGTAGATAATGGTCTTCTGATATATTACGACATAACAACTATGTGAGAACCATACATTATTTTTTCTATACTTTGGATATACAGCGAATACAAGTACATGTATCAATTTTGTGAAAGGTAAGACCCTATAATCAAACTATTTAATAAATGCTCAATCAGATTCATGATTCCCAATGTGAAAGGTAAGAACCTAAAACAGATTCCGAACAGCAGAAAGATGGTGTAAACTACTATCTAAAACAAGCAAGTTAGTACCATGCACCAATCGGTACATAGGCTGTGAGTGTAATGCATTTATTTTTAACAGAACAAATGATTAAATTAGGGTACGCATGATCCTAATTTATAGACAAACAGCACAACTGGTTGGTTAACACCAAAGTTGATGCATGAAAAGGTATCATATTCTGGAAACTATACCTTGTAATAAGCTCAGAGGACTCAGCATCCCACTGAAGAACACAGAATTTGTATCTCTCTGTTGCAATGAACAAAAAGTCTTGCGCTTCACCCTACAAAAAACGGTGGACAATACTATCAACATTTTAACTTACTAATAAGACCATTATAAAAGAACACACTAAGATATATACTCACATGTGGCCGGAACAATTCCAGAGTAGCGATTCTTCCATATATAGGAACATCCAGCATAGGCTGCAATATAGGAACATCCAAAAGATTCTTATATTACTGACAAAACAAGCTGGCAACAAATTTTTAAAATTTATACTCTAATCTACATGAACTTAATGCAGATAAACTTGACATAATAGATATGTATATACCTGAAGTCCCTGTGGAGTAAGCAAATGGATCTCGATTCGAGTACATTTCCTGAGAACAGAACAACACTGCTGTCAACCTAACATTATAATGGATATGATATAAAAGATGTTACAACTAATCGGAACAATGCTTAATCTAGAAAATGAGATAAATTTTCAAACATAATTACAGTACTCTCAATATCGAAAAAGGCACGATCTTTGACATGCAATTGAGTTCAGAGCAGAAACAGCCATACCAAAAAAAAAAACAAAAAGTAATCTTTGTAACGTTTTCAAATACCCAGAGACACTAAAATCCTTATACTCATCTCCTGAGTTTGAGAGGTTCTCAATACTCAAACCGCTATTTGACTAAAGCTGCAATTGAAATTTTAAAGAAAGACTTCCACCCTACGGTTTTATTTGTGGAAAGTGAGAAAATTTGTGAAAATTGAGTCGTGATGGGAAAATTCATTGAAAACCCTAAACCCAAATCAATAGCTGCAATTCAAAAGGGAGCGAATTGAAGAACAAAACTGAAAAAAAAAACAAAATTGATAAGATATAGAGAGGAAGGGAGAGTTTCATACGCTACAATGAGATTGAGCTCTTGAGGACTGGTGAAGTTGCCAACGCAAGAGTGAGTGACACTGGTCGGTTTGTGAGCCGTAACAACGTAGTTCCATGAGCTCATCTTCTTCTTCTTCTTCTTCTTCTTCCCCAGGGAATTTGAGTTCCACTGTCTGCGCAAGGGCCTCGAGGAAGCTTCTAGATTTCTTTAACGAGCTTCTGGAATTTTAACATAGAGAAGAGAGAGCCAAAGGAGGCGAAAATCCAACAAAAGAAGAAAGACAAAAATCGACAAAGACTGGTCGGTTTTGTATTCAGTTGACATATAAGATGAATCATCCGGTTCGGTAATTTAAACCGAACTGATTCGATTTGAGTTAAATCAAAACAAACTTCGGTCTAAAAGGCCCAAGTTTCTGCCTCAAAAAAACGAAATGGTTAATGGGCTTGGTATAGACTAGCTAATTGATGGGCCGGATCAGTCCGGGTAAATCCTGGTAAACCCGATTTCTGAAGAAAACCTAAGTGGGAGATTTTAAAGTTGTAAACTTTCTCCGACCAAATATACAAAATCGTTGTTCCAGCTTCTTCCGTCGCCACTAAACCCTGAGGCTAAACCTAGGCGAGCCAAAGTGCGATAAACGTTAAACCCCTAAGGAGAGTGAGAGAGAGGAATGAAGAACAACAACGACAAGAAGAAAGGTGGAGGCTTTAAGAGAGGAGGTAAAAAGGGTTCGAATGATAGGGATCCATTCTTCGAGCAAGAGACGAAGAAGCGGAGAAAAGTCAGTTACGATGACGATGACATCGAGTCTGTGGACTCTGATGCGGAGGAGGACGGATTTGCTGGCGGAGATAAAGATGGGAAAAGAGTTGATGTTGAAGTGGAGGATGAGGATGAGTTTGCTGATGAGACGGCGGGAGAGAAGAGGAAGAGATTAGCTGAGGAGATGCTGAATAGAATGAGGGAAGCTAAGCGGAGAGAGCGTGAGGAAGAGGATGATGATGAAGAAGATGAAGATGAAGATGAGAGTCTTAAGAAGAGTTTGATGAAGATGCAGCAGGAGGAGAGTGGTAGGATTCGAAGACTTATTGCATCGAGGTAATAAAGAAATTTGGTAGCTTCATGTATTCAAATTCTAAATTTTAGGTTTGAGATTGTTGGTAATTTAGGGTTTATGGGTAGTTTGTGCTTTAGGGAAATGGTTTGATTCTGAAACAAATTAGTGATTCTGTACATTTATTTGGAGAATTTGGTCTGTTTGAAGATTGCTCGATAGTAGTATGTAATGCTTTTTAATGATTCAGGGTTCAGGAGCCATTAAGTAGTGATGGGTTTAGTGTTATTGTCAAGCACCGACGATCTGTTGTATCGGTAGCTCTTTCAGATGATGATTCTAGAGGATTTTCAGCTTCAAAAGATGGTACTATTGTGCATTGGGATGTATCTTCTGGTAAAAGTGACAAATACATATGGCCGAGTGATGAAATTCTGAAGTCTCATGGAATGAAAATGAGGGAGCCTCGAAATAAAAAACACAGCAGAGAATCTCTTGCTTTAGCTGTTAGCTCTGATGGTCGTTATTTGGCTACTGGAGGAGTTGACCGTCATGTTCATATCTGGGACGTTCGTACCCGAGAGCATGTCCAGGTAATGATAAATTTGATTTTTGTTTAGTGTTTTTTTATTTGGTCTCCACCAAGTCTTTCCCTCAGCTTATATAATTATGTGTCTACAGGCCTTTCCAGGTCATCGGAACACTGTTTCTTGTCTGTGTTTCAGATATGGAACTGCAGAAGTCTATTCTGGTTCATTTGATAGAAATATGAAGGTGTGGAATGCAGAAGATAAAGCGTTTGTAGCAGATAATTTTGGACACCAAGGTGAAATTCTAGCCATGGATGTGCTGCGGAAGGAGCGTGCACTTACAGTTGGAAGAGATAGAACCATGCTGTATCATAAGGTAATAGTTCTATCCTCCATGTGAACACTATTAGGAGATATCATCTTAAGGTTTCTATTATTATTCTGTATTTGTAAGTTGTGTTATATGATAATAGGTGCCTGAGACCACCCGTATGATCTATCGTGCTCCTGCATCGTCTCTTGAGAGCTGCTGTTTTATCAGTGATAATGAGTACCTGTCTGGTTCGGATAATGGAACTGTTGCTCTTTGGGGCATGTTAAAAAAGAAACCGATGTTCATTGTCAAGAATGCACATCACGATAAAACTGAGAGAATTACCACCAATGGACTCTCAGGTAAAACCTCATTTAGATCCTTACCATCTCATTTCTGTTGCAATTTTAAAAAGAGCAAACACAAATATCGAGATCTTTGAAAATGATAAAAAGGAGTGAGGAACTTGACATTGCATTATATAGTTACAAAACACTTTTGTTTCGTTCAGCTCCTGATGCTCTGAAATATCTAATTCTTATTTATTTGCTCAACAGAAAACGGTGATGATGAACCAGTCAACAATAACTGTTCAGCAAGTTCTTGGGTCAATTCAGTTGCTTCTTGTAGAGGTAGTGATCTTGCTGCATCTGGAGCTGGTGATGGTTATGTGCGTTTGTGGGCTGTTGACACTAATGCCATTCGACTCTTGCATGAGCTTCCTCTGGTAAATTTTCTTAAACTAGCTCTGTTCTTTAGTGTTGTCTGATAATTCTGTTGTTTGTGACTGATTAAAACATTTCACGTCATCAAGTAATAATCCTTGCAACTTGTGTGATCTTACAGACTGGATTTGTGAACTCTTTGGCTTTTGCAAAATCGGGTAAATTTTTGATTGCCGGTGTTGGACAGGTATGTGATCATCTCATATGTTCTCTTTAGTTTCTATTGTTGTCTTCTTGTGTTTGTAAATGCTAATATCAAAACCTGTTGTATTGTGTAATTGATATGGCAGGAAACACGATTTGGAAGGTGGGGCTGCTTAAAATCTGCGCAAAATGGCGTCGCAATACATCCCTTAAGGCTGGCATAAGTATTTCATTGGGATTAAAAAGTGTTGTTACAAATATTTTTGAGTTGCTAAGCCAAAAAGATGGAAACTGAAGTAATATAGGGATTAGAGGTCTCTGCAGCTGTTGAAATTTTTGCTCCGTTATTTGTTTGTGCTTTGTACCATTTTTAAAAAATACGAGAACTTTTAACATTTTGAGATTCTGATCATCTGATGAATCAAAGAGGGTAAAATTCCCAAATTTTTCTCCCAATAAAAAGCCAAAATGGCTCATATTTTCCCTTTGTTCACCTAATTATTAATGACTGTTGAAGTCATTTTTTCTAATGGAAAAAAATAATCCAAGAATCATAAAATTCAGACTTGATTATTTTGTCAAGATCCGGACATGGATAGCTTTTTATAAGCAAAAAACACCTAAATGCATATTCTAGTCAAGCTTGTGACGTTTCTAGTCTCTGGCACTTCTCGAAGAAGCAGGTCTTGTTGTTGTTGTTGTTGTTCCATTCTCAAAATAATTTCACCTGGATAAGAAACAACAGAGATATCATTAGGTTAGCTCTGAGAAAATATCCATTCTTGCGGAGATAAGAACCGAAAAGGAATCGGTGGACACAGCCAGACACATTAATAAGGACTGGAACCACAGTATACAGATTAGGAAAGATCGGAGCAAGCGTCCATACATAAATAGAATACCACAATCTGAGGACTAGATACAAGATGTATGCAAACAGGATAAGATAGCATAACTCAACAAGAGCACATCTGGCACATCAAGATTAATCGAAAGAGCCATACATAAGACTCAATCCTACATGCAAAACACTAGCTTAACTCTATACAAGACAACGCTTCCCAGGATGAATTCAGCTATCTCAAACACTAGCTTAAATAGGAGAGTGTGATTTTCATTCATCCACTTCAATCACCCTGCTAATGCTATCCGTTATGCAACCTCAAAACGGAAAATTCACAGAAAAGGGTTGAACTTTTAATTAGTATCATACTATGTGAAGTCGAACGGGCCAAGATTGAGCCATTTTCTACAACAACGTAAACTTAATAGCCAGACTACAACTAACTATCAACTCTGCCATTTTCTACAACAAAATGAATCCAAAACTCAGTGATCTATACTAATAAATACTAACCATTTAATCCTATATGGTTCTATTGATCGAAAAAACAAACGGTAAAAGCTCATACCCAAAACAAAAAACAAGAGAAAGAAACGATAGCAGAAGACAAAATCTCTAACCTTTAAACGAAATCATCTCAACTTCTCTTTACTTGAGCTCTTCTTAGCTGCATCCATAACCTTCTCAAGATACCCTTCAATAGGCGGTGTAAGAGTAGCCATACCTCGATTCGCCGGAAACGGTGTCAAATCAGGTTCTAATGCCGCCTTCTTCAGATTCTCCGGCAATGCCTCAATCGCAGCTTTCTTCAAATTCAAAAGCGCAGTTTCAGCTGCACGACGCTCTCTATGCTCTTTCATCAACACTTTACTATACTCCTTAGCGAGTCTCTCTCCATCCTCTTTCGTCAGCTTATACTTGGGCAACTCATCGGCCTCAAAGATCCCCAATGAAATGTAATCCAAACCAGGCGTACCAATTCGGATCGGTTCATCGGTGATTCCCATTGAAGCGGCTCCTCCTTTCTTCTGGATCTCCATATCTCGCTGCTTCTCTTTACTAATCAACCCTAGCTTCTCACGCTGGGCCTCGCGCTCGACCTCTTTGGGAGTCAAATAGCGAACAGGACAAGGAGCGTTTAAGCATTGCTCGTAAAGCTTCTGTTTCTCATCGGAAATCCTTCCTTTTCCCTTAACAGCCTCTTCTCCATCTGCAGCTGCTCCTCCGCCACTACCGCCTTTCTTGGTGGCGACTTTGTTACGCTTCAATGGCTGACCTGTCTTCAGCTTGGCTTTTCCTTTCGGAGTTCCGCTTGCGGAGCATCTCTGGAGAAGGTGGTAACTCAGTGATTCGATGATCGGTTTTGGTCTTGTCACTCGAATCATGATTCTGATTTACCTGAGCTTCTGATTTTTCTCAAACCTTTCACCTGAGAATGGTGTTTCAGCACACGGAAATTTAGGGTTTTCGACTCGGAAGAACTGAAGAAGAAGAGTACTAGTCGACGACGTCGTTTGCATAAAAATAGGACGACGTCGTTTGCATAAAAATAGGACGACGTCGTTTTCGTAAAAATAGGACGACGTCGTTTTCGTAAAATAGGACGACGTCGTTTTCGTAAACAAGTAACAGGACGCCGTTTAGTGAAATTCGTTCATTAGCATTTGTGCCTTTGCTGAAGTCACCTGCAACTTGTTAAGAACCATTTTATTTTTGACAAGAAATTGGCTATAACGAAACTGTAGCTTCCAAACATCAAATTGGAGTTAGCACAGAGAATTTGCTGAAAAGTAAAATGAGCCAACACACAAGTAGAGAAACAAAACCCAGTTTTCTCTTTCAATAAAATAATTAAAAAGAGCAATTTGTCCACTATGATCTTTCGAGGAGCCAAAAAAAGAGAGTGAGAAATTGCAGTCAGTATGGGCTGCTCTGTTGTTGTCTCTTCTGGGCCTTGAAAGGATCTCCTTCTTCAGCTTACCTTTTTAGTACTTTATAAACCCAGAAAAAAATCCTCTGTTTCTTTTGTTTTCCCGATCGCGATATCAATTATTATTCTTCTTCTGGAGAAATCTCGTGTCTTTTCTCAATCGCCATGGCTCTCTCAACTCCTCTTTCTCAGGTTTCTTTTTTTACTTTCCTTATTATATTACTCTTTAACTTTTTTGGTTCCTGAGATTATTTTTGGATATAATGAAAGTTTTGGTTTTTGATTTCAGATGTCTGTTACACTTCCAACTGGGATTGATGGGTCGAGCCGATCTATGATCAAGGTGAACAAAACTGATATTGATTACTCAATTACTGATCTTTGTTGTTCAGATGCTTAGATGGTCCTGAAATTTTTTGTCTTTTTGGTTTTTGGGTGGGTTTACTTCTGATGTAGACTTCTAGTAAATTTGGTATTTGAAAGGTACACTCTTTAGAAGTAGAAGATGACAAAAACTGGACTTTGCATCTAGCATCTATTGAGAAACGAAACTAGAATCCTTTGGGGATTTAAAATATTTCTTTAGCATCTCATCTAGAAAAAGTGGAATAAGGAGATTTCCACGTTGACCTTTTGGTTCTGTCTCAGCTGCAGAGTATAAACTTCACTGAGACGTCATGGGGTTCTCGGCTTAGACTAGATTCCAAATCCAGAAGCTTAAGTGTGAACAAATGGTCCACAGTATGTATGTCACTTCAGCAAGCAAGCAAATCCAAAGTCTTGGTTACTCCTCTAGAACTTGAAGATCCCAAGGAGACTCCTTTGAATTTGTACAGGCCTAAGGAGCCTTACACAGCAACGATTGTTTCGGTTGAGAGAATTGTTGGTCCGAAAGCACCAGGGGAGACTTGCCACATTGTTATTGATCATGATGGTAATGTTCCTTACTGGGAAGGACAAAGCTATGGAGTGATTCCTCCTGTAAGTGCTTTTAACTCTGTTGCTCACAACGCATTGCCTTCTACCGATAAATGAGTTACCTCCCTCCATTTGGTAACATTTCCGGTTCCATTTGCTGTATTCTTGATCGGTAGGGCGAGAATCCCAAGAAACCTGGTGCACCTCACAATGTTCGCCTTTATTCGATTGCTTCAACAAGATATGGAGATTCTTTTGATGGAAAAACAGCTAGTCTGTGTGTCCGTCGAGCTATTTACTATGATCCGGAGACAGGAGAAGAAGATCCATCCAAAGCTGGTGTATGCAGCAACTTCTTGTGCAATGCTAAACCTGGCGATAAAGTTAAAATCACTGGTAAGTTACTGTATAGAAAACCTTCCTTTTGTTGAATTTTGTGGTATTAAATGTTCGATATTGTTGACAGGTCCGTCTGGAAAGGTAATGCTTTTACCTGAAGATGACCAGAAAGCTACTCACATAATGATTGCTACTGGAACTGGTGTTGCTCCATACAGAGGATACCTAAGACGTATGTTTATGGAGAACGTGCCAAATTTCAAGTTTGATGGGCTCGCGTGGCTATTCCTTGGAGTGGCTAACTCAGACAGTCTTCTCTATGATGAAGAATTTTCCAGTTATCTCAAGGACTATCCAAAGAATTTCAGGTACGACAAAGCGCTAAGCAGAGAAGAGAAGAACAAGAAAGGAGGGAAAATGTATGTGCAGGACAAGATTGAAGAATACAGCGATGAGATCTTCAAACTTCTGGACAATGGAGCACATATTTACTTTTGCGGGCTTAAAGGAATGATGCCCGGGATTCAAGATACACTTAAGAGGGTTGCTGAAGAGCGAGGCGAAAGCTGGGAGCAGAAACTTACTCAGCTCAGGAAGAACAAGCAATGGCATGTTGAAGTGTATTGAGTTAATATGGTATCTATGTGGATTTCGAAATTCCTGCAAATGAAATCATTAGACATGAATCCCCATATATCTTTCCTCTAAATTCAAGAAACAAAATAAGCTAAAATTTAAGTCTAATAAATTTCTTTTTCCCCTGGTTTTGTTTCCTTTCTGGCCTGATATTACCAGTGGCAGGCACTCTTCTTCCTGTTTCTACCGGGCTTGCCTCCTCTACGCTTCATCATCCTATCTACTCTCTTTTGACCTTTCCCAACCTTAACCCCAACTCCTTTCTTAGACACGACGAGTTCTTTTTTAGGCTTCGTTGGCTCTGCTGCTTTCTTGTATAGCTTATCTATCATCTTGTCCTTTGAACGGTTTGATATATCTGCTATGTCAGATATTGTATTTTCCTTCTTCCTCACTTTCTTAAAACTTTTCATAGCAGCTCGCTTCTTCCGTGCCTTGGCCTCAGCCACTTTCTTGGCTGGACGAGAGTTGATTTCTTTAAACTGAGCTTTCATTGCATTAACTTCTTCTTTTGTCACGGGTTTCATCGGCTGTCTATGCTTCTTTTCATCATCCAAAAACCACTTTGGTAAACCTTCGTCCTCAAACATGTATTTGTTAAACCAGAATCATCAAGCATCTCTTCTCTCTGCTTCTTCCTTCATTTTCTTGGCACAGGCCAATATCTCGGCCTTTGTATGAACCTCTTCATCTGAGTCTGAATCCATAGTTGAGCAGGAACTATCTCGAAACCTTCTTCTTTCGTAGAACTATTGGGAAAGCTCTGATCAAACAACAAGCCTGCTTTCCGCTTTTAATTTTCAGGTTTAGAAAGGATTTTTCCCTGTTTCTCAGTTGGCATTTGGTCTTCACAGTCAGCATTTCCCAAGTCTCGTTCTTCCATGGCTTCTGAAAATATATCTTGACTGAACCACTGGTTGGATATGTCTTCCTTTGTTTGGACCTCTCCATCATCAATTGTTACCACAAGAGGGTTTGCCTCATCCTTCTCTTCATTCATATCTGAATCGTAATCGAGTTTCATTGCTTCATCTTTATCATTGTCCTGCAATGCCATAGCAACAATGTAAATCAAAAGTAAATTGGGGTAAGCAATGCTATACCTCCAGCTTTTCAGCGTGTGCCTGCCTAGCCCGCTTCCTTTGCTTTTCAGCGTGTGCCTACCTTCTCTCTTCATCATATACCGGTCATATGCCTCATCAAAAATCTCTTCCATTAGTTCAGTACATCTGTTAAAAAGACGATATAAAATTAAATAACTGCACAAACTTGAGGAATGTATGACATTCTTGAAACAAGCACTCTACAATCTACAGAAAAAGTATGTGGTTAGCGGTGTGACCTCTGACGTTCTTCATCAGAATCTATAACACTCTCACTAAAATCATCTGAAGCTCCCTCTTCGTTGTCACTGTCATCGGCGTTGCTATTATCATGATCATCTTCATCATTGTCAACAGCCATTAGCTCTTTCTTTCCCTGAAAAGAATCATTGAATAAAACAACTTACAAGCTAATTCAGAGTAGAATCATACTGATAAAAAAAAACAAAACTCAACAATCTGTGAAGAAGCTTCTTTGTCTGTTTCTTCTTGCGGTCCGCTGTGTTTTTCAGCTCTTCTAACTCATTGAGGAGTTTATCATCCTCATTTTCCTCATCTTCCTTTCCCACATCAAGGTCCTTTTTAGTTCCATCTTTTTTTTCAGGAGACAGAGCTTTCCTGATTTGCATTCTCCATCTACAAGACAGTGAGTTCAATGTTCGTCAACTGACTAATATCATTTCTAGCATGGATGGTAAGTGAACGTCTTAACAGAAACATTAGTTTCCCTTAAGCCAATCCTATCTTTCATTGGCACCAGTTTTACGGAAAAACTTTTAGCATTCCACACACAATACCTTATCTCAGAACAGCATAGGTTAAAAACAAGAAAGATCCATAATGGAGTAAATGACACAGTTCTTACCTTAGGATATGCCTGAAGTCACTCTTCCCCAAAACAGGAAGATCGTCGCATAATATTTTAATCTCTTCAGTAGTAAAATTGTTTTCCTTTAAAGAAAGAGATGCTTGATCATCAAAGGATATACAAGTAACTGTGCCAAGAATCTCAAGAGGCTTTTCAGACCAGATGAAATCAGCAGCAGATGCAACTTTTCTCAGAATGGACTCTCCATCTTCATATCCACCACATTTTCTCTTCTGTTTTGATCCTCCAAGCACATCCATGACCTACAAACACAGCAAGTATTAGCCACAAAACTTTAAGGGAATGGGTGAGTTGCAGAAAACCACACTCCAAATACCAAACACCATAAATAGTGATCTACCTTTCTTGCAGGACCTTTGTAATTCAAACTCAAAAAGATATATTTCTGCAGATGCTGAACGACTGGCCAGCGGTTTAAACACTTCAACGTTTTCAAACAGCTGCATACCAAAAAAAATTACTATTAGTAAGATGAAGAACTGGAGAGTAAAAGCAAACAGTACCTTGCCTAGAGAGTAGAACACAGAGTTGTAATCTCGAGACCTGAAAATCTAGGAGCAGAGAACAACATTGAGAAACTTTTTTATGTCAAAAGACACATCACTATATGATGTTAGTTCAAAGCATACCTTGGTGATGAAGTTCCCCTGAGGAGCTAACAACTCTGTGGCCAGTTTCAAGGAATCAATAACCAAAGCGTTTTGGCTCATAGCTTCTTGCGCCCATGCACCACCGACGTTAGGAGACCCATCATGCTTCTTCATCACTTGCTTGATCTTGGACTTGCACTCGGCCGTCTGCGTGATATCCTGCTGGATAGAGAGACAGCCATGCAAGGGGCTAGTTAATTTTAACAAGATCGATACCTAGAACGAAGCTACCGACCAGAGCTTTCTGAACGGCGACCTGCATCCAACCACCGGGTGCGGCGCAAAGATCGAGAACGGTACGTGAAGAGTGGAGAAAGTTGTACTTTGCGTCTAGCTGGAGAAGCTTGTACGAAGCTCGAGAACGGTATCCACTCTCCTTAGAGAGACGATAGTACGTATCCAAACGATGCTTTCCTTTGACCTTACCCATTGTGAGATTTTTTTTTTTCTTTCTTTCTAGGGTTTTGTTCTGTTCTATAACAGAGAAAGAGAAATAGAATATAAGCTAGTATTGAAGTTTTCTGATACACCGGAACTTGACATTGAAGAGAGGAGTGAAGAAGGAGAGTGAAGCTCGTAACAAACTTTATTATTGATGTAAAAGAATATTACAAAGCTTAATCTGAAATTAGAGTATACACAGAGTATTTATACTCTTTCTAATACTAAGCTAAACCAAGATCTTAACCAGAAATAACCGGTTCTAATAACCATCCAAGTATCTAATATACCCCCCTCAAGTCTTTATCTTCAAACTGTCTGGTTTGGGAAGATAAAGACTTGAAAGTGACATTTTTGAGAGCAAATGGTAGAAAGGTCCTGGATGTAGTGGTTTAGTGAGAATATCAGCATGCTGATTATCAGTGGAAACATGGAGAGTCTTCAAGTTTCCAGCTTTGAGTTGATTCCGCACTGTATGACAATCAATCTCGATGTGCTTCGTTCTCTCGTGAAACACAGGATTATTGGCGATATGTAATGCAGACTTGTTGTCACAAAAGAGTTTGGCTGTACACGTGACTTTGACATGAAGATCTCTGAGTAGTTGCTGCAACCATATGATCTCACATGTAGCTTGTGCCATGCTGCGATACTCTGATTCTGTACTGCTTCGACTTGCAACTCCTTGCTTCTTTGATTTCCAGGAGATTAAAGAAGAGCCTAAGTAAATGCAAATTCCTGTAATAGATCGTCTTGTGTCTTTGCATGTTCCCCAATCCGCATCAGAAAAAGCATTCAAACAAAGTTCTGATTCAGCTGAGTAAAACAGACCTTGCCCTGGATTACCTTTGATATATCTGAGTACCTTATTCGCAGCTTGTAAGTGAATGTCTGTAGGAGCTGAGATGAATTGACTGAGTTGATGAACCGCAAAGGTGATGTCTGGCCTTGTGATGGTAAGATAGAGTAGGCGTCCAATCAATTCTCTGTAAGTTGTTGGATTTGGCAAAGCATCTCCCATATCTTTCCTAAGATGTAGATTTGGATCCATAGGTATCGGACTTGGTTTACAACCTAGTAAACCTGCATCTTCAAGGAGATTCTGAGCATACTTCCTTTGGCAAACAGAGATTCCTTTAGCAGATCTTGATATCTCTAATCCCAGGAAAAACCTTGCTGGTCCTAAGTCTTTTATCTTGAATTTTGTCCTTAAAAGCTCTTTTAGACCTTCAACTGCTCTATCATCATTGCTAGCTATCATGATATCATCAACATAGACCAAAGCTGCAATGAATGATCCATTCTTCACTTTCACAAACAGAGTGTTATCTGCTGGCGATTGAACAAAGTTTGCTCCCAAAAACACAGATGAAAGTCTCTTGTACCATTGCCGTGAAGCTTGTTTTAAACCATAAAGAGACTTGCGAAGTCGACAAACCGGATTAGGGGGCAAATTTGTATCTGGTGGTGGTGTATAACCTTGTGGAAGGCTCATGAAGATCTCTTCATCCAACTCACCATGAAGGAAAGCATTAGACACATCCATCTGTGTCAAGCTCCATCCTTGTATAGCTGCCAAACCAAGTATAAACTTGACACTTGTTAGTTTTGCAACAGGTGAGAAAGTATCAATATAATCAATACCCTCTTGTTGTGTAAAACCTTGTGCCACTAATCTGGCCTTGTATCGCTCAACTGTTCCATCAGGGTTATACTTAATAGTAAACACCCATTTGCATCCAACCACATTCTTTCCAGATGGTAAAGTTTCAATATCCCAAGTGTGATTAAGCTCAAGAGCCTGAAGCTCTTCACCAGCTGCTTTAATCCATTTTTCTGATTTCATGGCTTGGGCAAAGGTTTTAGGTTCAGTTTCTAGACTATAAGAGAAAATATAAGATTGGTATTGGGGACTGAATTTATCAAGGGAAAGGACAGATTGTATTGGATATGGAGTAGTATGGGGTTTTGTGGGTTTCTGTTTAGGGGAAGGATAAGTAGGAGAAGGTGTAGAAACGGCTAGGATAGGTAACTGATGAGATATGGCTAGAGAACAGTGATACTGAGACAGATAACTAGGTGCTTTAACATTACGTTTAGGCCTAGCAATAAGTACAGAATCACTATCTATTCCATGAGTATCTACAGTATTATTATTTTGAATGGTACTAGGGACTATAGGTGCAGAAGATGATATATCAGTATGCATATGCAATTCAGATGCAGTTTCATCATCATTATCATCAAACATGGACAAAGAATCAACAAAATGTAAAGGTGCAGGCATTGGTAAAATTGTATTAGGAAACATATCAACAGACTTGTGTAAGTATTCAGATGTTTTAAAAGGAAAAACAATTTCATGAAAGACAATATTGCGAGAGATAGAAACTGAATGAGACTCTAAATCTAGCACTTTATAACCTTTGTAACCGGATGGATAACCTAAGAAAACACAAGGTTTACTTCTAGGTGTGAATTTATTTCGAGTATGAACAGGTGTAGAAACAAAACAGAGACAACCAAAGTTCTTTAAAAGACTGTAATCCGGTTCTTTATGACATAGTAATTCAAAAGGAGATTTATGGTTTAACAATGGTGAAGGTAACCTGGCTCTGATACCATATTGAAGTTTTCTGATACACCGGAACTTGACATTGAAGAGAGGAGTGAAGAAGGAGAGTGAAGCTCGTAACAAACTTTATTATTGATGTAAAAGAATATTACAAAGCTTAATCTGAAATTAGAGTATACACAGAGTATTTATACTCTTTCTAATACTAAGCTAAACCAAGATCTTAACCAGAAATAACCGGTTCTAATAACCATCCAAGTATCTAATAGCTAGGGTTATAAGCTAGAGTTTGATTAGGGTTTTACTAGACAACATTTTTTCCTTTTTCTTTTGTTTCTATTAATGTTTTCAAATAAAAATAAACGGTTACAAGTTATGACTAAGTCATAGTCTTTTGCATAATTTGAAAGAGTGGAAGAAACTTTAGCATACATAAAGCATAAATATGACAATTCTTGACCTGTAGCAAGCTTGTACCTAGTTATTTAGTGTTAAACTACTACTTCCATGGATACTTAAGCTTCATGCTTCTGCTTCTTTAATATCAAAATCAACACTCTCCTTAGTCATCTTTTTTCTTTCAAGAAACTCAATAAGACCCTTAAGCGCAACATCCGGATTCTTGCTGGCCATAAGCTGCTCTGTGATTTCAGCTGGAGTTGCTTTCACTTCAAGGAACATCTTCTCAAGAGGCTCAAACAAATTGTGATCTTCGGTTTCAAGATACAGTGCAGCGAGTTTCTTGAAAACAACAGGCGTACAATAGTCCATGAGTATATGAACATCCATCCTTCCTGGTCTCAACAATGCTGGATCGAGTTTCTCCTTGTGATTTGTTGTGAATATTATGATTCGTTCCTCTACACAGCTTGACCACAATCCATCAACAAAGTTAAGTAGACCAGACAAAGTTACCTGATCCAAAAAGACAAGAACAGAACACAAAATCAGAGAAACTGAGTCGAGATAAAGTATAATTAATTATTTAGTGTATCACTCCCTGGAACCTTAGGATCCTTCTTCTTTTTCATATCCTGATTCTCATCATCTTCTTTATCCTCGTCTCTAGCATCTGCTCCACTACAATCAAGATCTTCCATGAGAAGAATGGAACGGTTCTCAGTCATAGTGAGAATCTGTCTAAGCATTTCATCATGTTTAACACTCTGAATCTGAAGATCATAGATATTAAAGTTCATGTGGTTAGCAATTGCAGCAACAAGCGATGATTTCCCGGTTCCAGGTGGACCGTAAAGAAGATAACCACGTTTCCAAGCTCGTCCGACGGATTTGTAGAAGTCTTTTCCACTGGAGAAAGCGTCTAGGTCACGGATCAATGTATTCTTGAGCTCAGGTTCCATTGCTAGGGTTTCAAACGTCGTGTGATGTTGAAAAATTGCTGATTCCCATCTTTCACATTTTGAATTGTAAGTGTTGATATTGAGATTTTCTCTGTGTGTCAATAACTTCACCGATGACTTGGCAATATATGTGAAGTAATCCGACATAATCTTCTCTCTAAACTCCTTCTTACACGTCAAATGAAAGTACCTGAAACCAAAATACAACATCATCAAATTACCAAAAAAACAGTCAGAACACGAAGAATCCAAAAAGTACTTACACACTCAGATTAGAATAGAGTACAATTAGAAGAAAACAAATCACAAAATCAGTGTCAGAAATACAAAGTAACTACAAAACAAAGGATAAAAAAACGTAAATGACTCTCAAAATAAAGATTCCAGTGAAAAACAAAAAAACAAATTTTAGAGATCTGTAATTCTGTATTGAGAATTTAACGTCAAAAATACGAATTAATTACATAGTAAGCGTAATTGGACACAAATTAGAAAAGTATCCTATAAAACAAACAAACAAAAAAAAATAAAGTTTGTAAGGGGTTATGTTTGATTTTTGTTTATTTCTTATGATTCTTGTAGAATATCTTAGAAGTAACTGGACTCAGATTATATGTTTGTCGTAATATATACGGACTCAAATGAGAAGAGCGACAGAAAAAGAAAAAAGCAACCAAATTTCTAGGGTTACATGTTGAGAAAAGCTACCTTTTTTGGTATTTTTGGTGAGGATTGTTGTCTCTATCAGAGAGAAGAGTCCATTCAAGAGGAATCCCTTCGAAATCATCTGTGATTTTGGCTTTTACGGGTATTCCAAATTTGGGTTTAGCCATGGGATCCTTGAGGTTGCTGGAGCTGACGAGGAGACTTCCGGTGGAGATTCTTGTGAGAAGAGTCGGCAAGTAAACTTGAGCCGCACGGAAAGTTTGGTTTGTGACGTAATCGCTCTGTTCTTCGATGATGAAGGTGAAATTAGGGTTGAAATAGGAAGAGAAGTAGTCTGTGAATTTGGAGACGATGAAGTGACGGATCTTGGCTGGAAGGATCTCATGGAGAATGGTTCTGAAGACGATCGTGAAGGCAGAGAGAGATGTGTAGATCGAGAAAATTGCAGAGAGTGAAGGGATTTTGGTGAAGAAACTAGACACCATTGATGTGAACTGAAGAAGATGGTGTGTGTGTGTGTGTGTGTGGATTAAGCAAAAGTGAGTGGGTGTTGTGTGTTTAAGAGAGAATGAGACAAATTTGAGGAGAAACTTTTCGAGTACTATTTTAGAAATGGGAAGGTTAGAGAGTAAGTTCGTGGTTTCCTCTTACGGAAAGAGATGTTTTCTTGGTTAAGCTTACGGAAAGATGTGTTATGTTCAATGAATGTTGATAGGTTACTACTTAATAGAGAAACAGTAGTAAGGCTATTACTGAAATGTATTTAGTATTTACCATCAAGAGCCTCACCAACATGTGAGCTTGTCTTCAACTACTGAAATTATGTAACCAAGAAAGAAGAACCTTTGAATCCCAAACTGTTTTGTTGCAATGGCTTTTAAGCTTTTTCTTGTAACGGCTAAAATATTGAGTGTCAAAGAGTTTAATTAGGTAGGGATTATGATTATTTTTATTATTATAGTATTTATTAAAAAAAGCTCCATAAAAATGTGTTATTTAAGAGTATAAATTCTACAAATCGTTTCGATCTTGGGATAACTAATAATTAAGGGCGGCATAATTAATAATTAGGGTTCCAATTCCAAGGTTAACCATTTCTTCGTCTCTTGAGATTGTGAGTAGCAGCGTCGGACGATTTTAGGGTATTTTTCAATCTCTGTAGTGCGGGTTTTGCTTAGATTGGATTCCTCTGTTTCCTCTGTTTTTTTCCAGTCTAGGTGAACTTAGGAAAGCATCAAACTTTGAACTTCATTAGCGCTTCCTTCTTCTTTTTGGATATTTTCGTGTTCTTCTCAAGTTTATACAGATTCAAAAAATACAAAAACTTGAGTTCATGTCTCCTCATTTCTGATTTGGTGTCATTTCTCTGTTTCGACAGGAAAAAAAAATTTATTGGATTGGAATCCCTATGGACAGAATCAGTTTCTTGCCTGATGATTTCCTGTTGCATATACTTTCATTGCTTACCACAAAAGATGTCTTGAAGACAAGTCTTTTGTCGAAACGATGGCGGAATCTTTGGAAGTTGGTGCCCAAACTCGACTACATCGATTTTAGAAAAAAGAATGATGCTGATCATGGGAGATTTCTCCTGTTTGTGGACAGGTCTTTGCAATTAAACACGGCTCCAATCTTAGAGAGTTTATCTTTCAAGTTTCATTGGCGGCATTGCAGTGACGTTGATATCGGATTTTGGGTTAGAATTGCAGCCAAACGAGGTTTACGCCATTTCGATTACTGTCCTTGCACTCTTCATGAGCCTAGCAGATTACCACAAAGCTTGTTCACCTGCGGGACACTCGTGGTACTTAAACTCACCAATGTATCGCTTGCGGATGTTAAATTCCCTGTTAGTTTCCCGTTACTCAAAGTGTTGCATCTTCATTGGCTGATTTACTTAGACGATGAAACCCCTCAGAAGCTTTTGTCAAGCTGCAAAATTCTTGAAGAATTGGTCGTGGACCGACAAAGGAATGACAATGTAACAACCATTCCTATAAATGTGCCTTCATTACTAAAGTTAGTCTATATTGGAGAATCTAATGAAGAAGTGTTTGAGTTGAATGCTCCTTCTTTGAAGTGCTTAGAGGTTAAAGATGTTGGTTACGAGTGTATGGTTGAGGATATGCCTGAGATCGTGACTGCAAATGTGGAGGCTATCTATTCGAATACCGACGACATCTTGGGTGCTCTTACATCAGTCAAACGCCTCTCGCTATGTTTACCTTCAGAGGTAAATAGTACTAAATACTTTGAGAGTAGATAACCAAATTACATAGTTTTTTTTTAGTCTTCTATGATTCTATTTGCAGTCGCCGTATCCTACTGGTAAAATCTTCCACCAGCTTGTAGACTTGGAGTACTGCACATGTGATACAGAATGGGATCAACTTATCACTCTTCTCAATCAAACTCCAAAACTACGAGCTCTCAAACTCAATGAGGTAAAGCACTTCACCCTTATAAACTTTTTGGGTGTCAGGGGATTTTGGTCTCCGCTCTAAATCTCTAATCTTTAGTATTGGTCTAATGATATGTCCTCATCAGAGACATGGCTGTTTTTTTGGAGAACTAAGGCTTCATTGGGATGAGCCAAGTTCTGTTCCTGAAACGTTGAAGTCCGGACTTGAAACTTTCGAGTATAGAAACTACAGAGGATGGAATGCAGAGAAACAATTTGCAAAGTTTATCTTGAAAAATTCTTGTCGTTTAAAGAGGGCTGTTTTCTCACCAGTGGTCACCAATTTGCAGAAGAAACATGGAATGCTCATAGAGTTGGCTCTTTTGTCCAGAGGTTCAACGACGTGTCAGCTCGTCTTTGGCTAAAAAATCTGAAACCAGCTGAATTCAGAAACAGCTTTATTGCATCTCTTAAAAACCATCTGCTCTGATCCTCTACATGGTCAAGCCTTTTCTTCTTTGTTGACTTTCGCCTTTATTTCAAGTAAATTAGTGCTAAAATGATTAGTTTTATCAAGGGATCACATGGTTTTCTTTGTCTCTTTTTCAGTCATCGTGAATTTTATCGATAAAACTATATTGGAATACAGGATGTGATTCTGTGAATGATTTGGTAATACAAAAGCTAACGTATTAACAATTTTAAAATTTTGCTAAAGCCTAGAGTTAAGCTTCTCTAATTCCATCATTATTCACAGTTTCACCTTTGAAGAAAGTGCAGGCATCAGCTTCAGAGTTATATCGCTGTAAGGTTGGTCTTGCTTCATATCTATAAGTCCTCTAGACTTCAATACCTGCATAACAAAACAACCCATCTCAGTTAGAGGCAATGTACAGAGGAATATATAGAAGGGCCAAATTTTGTATTGAGAATCAATCACCAGTGTCTCGTAGAACATGCGAGCAGCTATCTTCCTTGTCTTTCCTTCCAAGATCTTGCTCAAACTTAGATCTTCCGATGGATGGCTTGAATTAGGACTACTTGAAGAACGTTCTGTAATATACTCAGCCACGGCTCTGCAATGTTTAATGAAAATGTTACAAGTTAGTAGAGAAACAGTACGGCTCATAAAATGCTATGTGTGGTTTGTTTGAATCTGTATACCTTGTTCTTCCTGAAAGACCATCAAAATCTTGTGTACTCGGTGATCTTACCGGGGTATTGCCACCTACTTCTAGGAAAGAAAGTTCCTGTATGGAACAGCCAAATGGTATTTGGTATCAATGTCAGCAGAAGACCAAGAATGGTTAAAACAAAACACTTGAAAAATGTGAAAGCAAACCTCGCCCGTCATTTCAGGAATAGCTGAAAGCCCCGGGTTTCTTAATCCAGGAAGATCCTCTGGAACTGTCGAAGTTGAAGGCTCTGTTCTATAAGATCTTGTCTCCCAAGGTCCCGGCTGAGTGGTGAAGTCATCACTTCTGTAAGGTGAAGAAGATCTTGGAGGTGGTGATGGCATGTACTCAGGTATATCTTCTGGATTTTTAAAAGTTGAAGGCTTTGTTCTATAAGATACTGTCTCCCAAGTTTGAGGCTGAGTGGTGAAGTCATCACTTCTATAAGGTGAAGATCTTGGAGGTGGAGACGGGATGTAGTTAGGGAAACCACCATCCCTGAAATGTTCGATTCCCATGTCATCATTACTAAATGACTGAGGAGATTGTGATTCTGCTGCTACATACTTTTCATGCACGGATTGAGGATCTCCAACACCTTGGACATCTTCAGTTTGCTGACTTGGAGACCTCAGAACCGTACTATCTAGTTTGGTAGAATCATGAGCTAAAGATTGTGGAACTGGAGAGGCCGGGTTAATTTCTGTTTCAGCTTCTTGAGTAGGAGATGATGCAGGTACAGATGCAGGCTCTTGAAAAGTTTCATCAGTAACAGCGAGATATGGTTTTGAAGCTACACAGTCCTTATCAAAGAGACTGCGTAAAACATTTGAGAAGCCTGCAAGTAAACATATAGAGAGTCAATACTCATTCTACAAAAATAAAGGGCAAAAGAAGGTAAATGAGAGAGTGATTGAGAAATTACCAGTAAACAAAGAATGATTGAAAAGTTGATTCTTCTTTGATTGGTTATCTAGTCTCCAAAAACCAACTCTAGATGAAGGCAACTTCTTTCTCTTACGAACAGTATTAGTAGGATCTTCAAGCCTTTTTTTAATGATCCTGTCCAAATTCATTCATCAGTATGCAACAGGTAATGAAATAAACAAAGTCACAGAAGCAATGGAAAAGTTATTACTTGTTAGATAATAATACTCTGGCCTCATCATAGTGCTTCCTCTTCCTTGGCCTTGTTTGTGGTGGAGGAGGAGTCGTTGGCTGAAGAACCAGTTCAGGTGATGGATGCACTTAACATAAAAAAAAAAACCAAAATGTTAATAAGATGATGATGGTTAAGCATGAAATTATCAAACTATGCTGTTTACTCACCAAAATTTGCAGGTTCTTCTCCAGAACCAACAAAAGATGGAGATCCTAAGCGAAGCTCAAATGTTGAATGCCCTCTAGAATTCAACACTTCTTCTTCAAAACTAGGGACAGTGGTTTCCTGATCCTTCAAAGTTTCATCTAAAGATTCAGTGTGTTCAACTCTGACATTATGTTGTTGTGCATTATATGATGGATGGGACACAGGGCTCAAAGCGTGTGCAGCATCACGTCTTTTCTCAATCTCGGGAACACTTCCAGGAGAACTGGTATTGCTTCTCTCATTAGTGGGATTGAGCGCTTCAGTCAAGTTACTTGGTCTATAGGTTCCAGTATCTAGAGCAACATTGAACTTTCCTAGTTCATTGTTTGGTCCACCCTCATAAGCCATTTCAACATCAGTTTCTCCAAGATTCTCACTCACAGGAGGTACTGTGACTTGGCTGCTTAATTCATACAAAGAGATGACCGCATGAAAAAGACATATACATGAACATATAATGAAGATAATGAAATAGGTATAGTAGAGGAGCCTCACTCGACATCCATCTGGTTAGTTTCTGGAATGATGTCCTGTAATAAATAATTACACATAGAAAATTAAATTTTCCTTCAATAACATGTTCTTGGAGACATGAAAACTGTTAAGAGTCAACTTCAAAGTCATAAGGACACAAGCAGGAATCTTACCTCGTCAAATGTAATAGCAACATAAGGATCAACGCCAGTCGGAATTTGATCTGCAAAATCAACATAACCATCATAATAAACACCTAGAATCATGGTATGATGCAATTTTCCAAAAATACAAAAAAAAAGGTGTAGAAATGGTACCTTTCTCACTAAAAAGATGATTATCGAATTCCCTAGGATTTACAAGAAAAAAAGAAACGTTCTAAGATCTCTCAAGCTTTACAAGAACAAAATAAACTATAATAAACAGTGAAAAAAGATGGATACATGTCGACAGTGTCATGATCTTCCAAGTCAAGCTCGTCCAAATGAAGTGTATGAGGCAAAGTTATCAACTCAACGGGTGCCTTTCTCACATCCTCTGGCAAGTTAACTTGTGGAATAGTAAGAGCCTTCTCTAACTTAGTACGAAGGTGATTATAATCACTGTACATATGATCGAGTTTCTTTGAAAGTATTCGCGCTACACCAACTCGAATGGCACCTAACATTATGGCTGACATTGGTAGTAACTGTTCAGGATCCATTATAAGATCTGCAAAGACAATTACATAATCCTCAAAATTTACGAAATGGAATTAACAGTTCCTGCATATACTCAACAAGCGAATTGATGATAATTCAAACTACTAGAAGAGGAAAGACGAACCAACTGTTTCGGGTATGTTCATGGCTTTGTACTGACACTTGTTGAGGAGATGTGGCACGTGAGCGGCGAGCCACAGCGTCATCACTGAACTCTTTGGAGGCTTACGATAAGCTTTATTATGCGGATTAAACATTTTGTGCTTCCGTTTTTAAAATGAGTGACAAGTCGAAAGATCCGATGTAGAAATTGATTGGAAAATTGAAGTAACCGTGAACTAAAAGCAAGAAACCCTAAGTTTGTGAAAAGAATCAATATCGAAATACAGGGGACGAAGACAGAGGTTTTTAGGGTTTTATGTGATTTTGGAGAGCAAGAAAGAGATTTTAATTGCGCGGGAAATTAAAAAATGTTCAGTGGCGCTAAATCATATTATAGGCAAAGGGAATATTTGCATTTTTAGAATTTTAAAATTAGTAAATATCATTTATAGTTAGAGATACTCAAATCTTTTTGAATTTTAATTTAGTATTAGTCCAATAGTAAGTTTCTTAAACCAAGCTTGCAGATTACATCGATGAAGAAGAGCTACTTAATTACTAAACCATAAATCCCAAATATGAAACAGAGTCATATATAGAGAGAGAGCTACATAACTACACATATACCTTGAAGCTTATTTAGTGGTAAACTACTACTTCCAAGTCTTCCATGGATCCTTGAAGGTTCATGCTTCTGCTTCTTTAATCTCAGAATCTACTGAGTCATTATCCTTAGTCAACTTCTTGGTTTGAAGAAACTCAACAAGAACCTTAAGCGTGACATCTGGATTCATGCTTACCATAAGCTGCTCTGTGACCTCAGCTGGAGTTGCATTCACCTCAAGCAACGCCTTCTCAATGGGCTCAAACAAAACGTGTTCTTCGACGTCGAGATACAATGCAGCGAGTTTCTTGAAAACAGTAGGCGTACAATAGTCCATGAGAATATGAACATCCATCCTTCCTGGTCTCAGCAATGCGGGATCGAGTTTATCCTTGTGATTGGTCGTGAAGACGATGATCCGTTCCTCTACACAGCTTGACCATAACCCGTCTACAAAGTTTAGTAGACCAGCCAAAGTTACCTAAACAACAACAAAACAGAATCAGAACATAATTATTCAGAAATAGTTTGTGGATATTGATGAATCTTATGTATATAACTCAGTTACACATAACCTGATCAGGATCCTTCTTCTTCTTCTTCTTCTCCTTGTTCTGATTCTGGCCACGTTCTTCGTCAACTTTATCCTCGTTTCTACAAGAAGCATCCGCTCCAGAACAATCAAGATCTTCGATGAGAAGGATTGAGCGGTTCTCAGTCATAGTGAGGATCTGTCTAAGCATCGCATCATCTTTAACGCTCTGGATCTGAAGATCATAGATATTATAGTTCATGTGATTAGCAATGGCAGCAACAAGGGATGATTTCCCGGTTCCAGGCGGACCGTGAAGAAGATAACCGCGTTTCCAAGCTCGTCCCACGGTTTTGAAGAAGTCTTTTCTTTTGGAGAAAGCGTCTAGGTCACAGATCAATGAGTTCTTGAGCTCAGGTTCCATTGCCAGTGTTTCAAACGTTGTGTGATGTTGGAAGATCGTTGATTCCCATTCATGGAACTCTGGATTGTAACTGTGGATCTTGAGATTGTCTCTGTTTGCCAATATCTTCACTGATGATTCAGCAATATACGTGAAGTAATCTGACATTATCTTGTCCTTAAACTCCTTCTTACATGTCAAATGAAAGTACCTAAAAACCCAACATCAAATATTTACAAGTTAATGTCAGAATACAAACTATGACAAAACATAAAGCACATAAGAGTAAAACGTAAGTAAGCTCAGGTGAATGAAAGATAAACTTTTAGGGTTTCTTTTCTAAAATCCCTAAATCTTAGGGTTTCTTGTGTAACATCCCCAAATTTTTAGGGTTTAGAGCTGAGAAGTTACCGTCTCTGTCTGTTCTGGGGAGGAATAGTATCTTTTTCAGAGTGAAGAGTCCATTCAAGAGGAATCCCTTCGAACTCATCGGTAATTTTGGCTTTAACCGGGATCCCGAAATTTGGTTTAGCCGTGGGGTTCTTGAGGTCGCTGGAACTGACGAGGAGACTTCCGGTGGAGATACCTGCGAGAAGGGTCGGCAAGTAAACTTGAGCAGCACGGAAAGTCTGGTTGATGACGTAATCGCAGTGCTCCTCGATGACGAAAGTGAAACTGGAGCTGAAATAAGAAGAGAAGCAGTCTGTGAACTTGGAGACGATGAAGTCACGGATCTTGGCTGGAAGGATCTCATGGAGAATGGTTCTGAAGAGGATCGTGAAGGCAGAGAGAGATGTGTAGATCGAGAAGATTACAGAGAGTGAAGGGATTTTAGTGAAGAAACTAGACGCCATTGTTGGTGTGAATCGAAGAAAAAGTGAGTGGGTTTTGCAATTGTGTGTGTGTGTTTAATAAGAAGAGAGAAGAGAAAAAGTGGGAAGCAAGTTTTCGAGTTGCTATTTTAGGTATTGGTGAAAGGGAAGCTTATAGAATAAACATCTACTACTACATGACATCTACTACATTGCTCAATTTATTAAAATTTTCATTTGTATTTTTATGAACTGATTTAATACCAAAGAACCTTTGACTTTTAACCAAACCAACGCCGTTTTAAATTAATAATTTGCTCTAATTTGTTTATTAAAAAAATGCTGAAAACAAATAATTTCTCTTTAAAAAAAATTAATAATAATAATAATTCCTCTTTTTATTGTTCAACTAATTTAATAAGATTAGAGATAATTGGATAATAATGAAAAGTAAGCACGTAGTTGGGTCAATTTGCCATTTTTATTCTAAACTTTGTTCATCTCTTTCCTTTTGTTTTGTCTATCTATCCTCCCTTTCACAACATTGTAAGAACACCAAATCTCTCTCTCTCTCTCTCTCTTTCTCAATTCCAAATTTTGTGTATGTGTGTATTTTTGGTTTCAAAGATCATTCAATTCCTAATTAAATGCTTTTCTTCAGGAATGTTGAAAGATCAAATTTTTATTGTTATTGGCTTTAATCAAACTTTTTGTTTGTTTGTTTTAAAAAAATTGAAACTTTTGTTTGTTTGTGTCATTATCAACGATTGTGCGTGATGGGTATTTGTGTTGTTGTTGAATGTAGGATTTTGTTTGATGATTGTTGAGTTTTGAAAGAAGAGCAATGAGCAATTATGCAGGCGGACTCGGCAAGCCTGGTTCAGGTATGACATTATTGATTCTTTCATTTGTGGGTTTCTTGGTTGTATCTGTTTATGGTCATTTCTAGAGATTCAAGACCAATTTTGGATTTTATAATGGCTGGAGAATCCACAAATATAGTTTAAGGTTTCTGATTTCGTTGAGCCTCAATGCACATTGTGTTTTAACAGGTAAAAGGAGAATAAAGGATCTGTTAAATCAACCTGATAACCGAGTCTGTGCTGATTGTGGCGCTTCTGATCCTAAATGGGCGTAAGTTATCGCTCCTAAACCTCTCAATTTGTTTTCTTAATGTAGTTTGCTAATGAACAACCTGTTATTTTAAATTAGTAAGCTAGAAACTTTTCTGAGCCATTTTATTATAGCATATCTTATGCTAATGCAATGTGTTTGGTTCTGTAATCTGTATGCTCCCTGTTCATTTAGGGGTACTTGACCTTCAAAAGTTCTCTGTTCATTTTCAACTTGACCTTCAAAAGATGAAAATCTCACATTTCTTTACCATAACCCAGAGTTACTTATTCACGTTACGAGATCAGCTCTTCTTCTACATGTTTAGGTGTCTTTAGTTACGTTTCTTTGTTAAATAATCAGTTAGTAGCTTATTTCAGATCAGCAAATATCGGAGTATTCATTTGCTTAAAATGTTGTGGTGTGCACAGAAGCCTCGGCACTCATATCTCAAAGGTGATATATAGCCTCTTTGCTTTATTACATTTTGGTTTCCTCATTTCCTGTTTGTTGTCTTTTTTTCTTCATTGTGTACTCATAGTTTGGTTTCTCTCCAGGTTTTGTCTGTGACACTTGATGAATGGTCAGATGAGGAAGTTGATTCCATGATTGAAATTGGAGGAAATGCGTCTGCTAATTCAATTTACGAAGCTTTTGTACCTGACACATGCTCTAAGCCTGGACCTGATGTTAGTCATGACCAGCGTATGAGATTCATTAGGTAAGAAGCAAAAACAAAATACTCTGTCACAGGATAAATCTATTGTTGTTTATGAGTTACTTAAACCCTTGAATCTTTATTTAGGGCAAAATATGAACTTCAAGAGTTTCTGAAGCCAAGCTTGCGGATTAAATCGGGGAAATGCTCAACAAAGAGTTCACCGTTTCTTACATCAAGTCTTTCTAGAAAGATTATGGATAGTTTTCGCACAAATTCATCGTCACAGAAGATGGTAAAGCTTCTAAGTTCTAACTTGCATAAGTTCACGCTTCTTATACCTTCTTCTTGCATGTTTTGAAATCGGTAAATTTTGACAGTTTCAGGAAGGAATGGTAGAGTTTATTGGATTGTTGAAGGTGACTATTAAGAAAGGTACTAACTTAGCAATCAGAGACTTGATGTCAAGTGATCCATACGTTGTGTTGAATCTAGGGAAGCAAGTAAGTGACTTGATTTGCATCTGTTTGTTAGCTTTGCACCTCGTTAATCTTGAATAAAAAATTTGTTCTTTCTTTGACTGTCCAGAAACTTCAGACAACTGTTGTAAATAGTAATTTGAACCCGGTATGGAATCAAGAACTCATGCTGTCTGTTCCGGAAAGTTATGGTCCAGTGAAATTGGTAAAAGCAAATTGATTTTTCATTGATGATCTCAGTTATTGCTGAAATGTATATCTTAGTGGTATTTTTTTCTCGATTTCTATGTGATTGCAGCAAGTGTATGATTATGATACATTTTCTGCTGATGACATAATGGGAGAAGCTGATATTGATATCCAACCTTTGATAACATCTGCAATGGCTTTTGGGGATCCTGAAATGTTTGGGAATATGCAGATTGGGAAGTGGCTAAAATCAAATGATAACCCACTAATAGATGACAGTATCATTAACATTGTTGATGGGAAAGTGAAACAGGAGGTCCAGATCAAGCTTCAGAATGTAGAGTGTGGAGAATTAGAGCTAGAAATGGAATGGCTGCCACTTGAACAATAATTGTCAAATAGGTCTCATAACATTCTATATTGCATTGATTCATTTTTTTTTTTTTTTTGTTTTATTGTCACTCCATTCGTTGGAAGTTTTCTCAACTCTTTTTTGGCGTATTTGTAACTCATTTCAGAGGAACATGTATTTTGAAGTTTGTATAACCCAATGGATTATGATAATGTTTATGATTGATGGAAAAATAACTTTTATTTATGCACACCTTTACTTGTTTCGTAGCATTGTCAGAATAAACACTTTGGAAGGAAGAGACTTCATCTTCCTTAGATAGACTCTGCAATTTCCTTTCCCCTCGACATCTAATGTATTGTCCCCTATTTTTGCTGAGACGGTCTCTTAATTTGCCTTACCTACCCCATCAAACACTTTGGATTTTTTACAAGTATTGCAGCTACGGGCAGAGAATGCGACCGAATCCATGTTTCAGGCTTATCAAACAAGAATAAAGAGCTAAGGATATATTCCAAAAGAGAAGAAGTTCGAATTATCATTAGAATGGAACGGAAACACGATTGATCAATTATTTAACTGGAGCTTTACAAAGCCCCAAAAGACAAAGTACTTAGTTTTAAGTAAACAAACGGTACAAGAACTACTTCTTCTCAAACCATAACAGAGACATTTCAGAAACCACCACGGAGACGGAGGACGAGATGAAGGGTAGACTCCTTTTGGATGTTGTAGTCAGCCAAAGTGCGACCATCCTCAAGCTGTTTGCCAGCGAAGATGAGACGCTGCTGGTCCGGAGGGATACCTTCCTTGTCCTGGATCTTGGCCTTCACATTGTCAATGGTGTCGGAGCTCTCCACTTCCAGTGTGATGGTCTTCCCGGTCAAGGTCTTGACAAAGATCTGCATACCACCACGGAGCCTTAGCACCAAGTGAAGGGTCGACTCCTTCTGGATGTTGTAGTCAGCCAAGGTGCGACCATCCTCAAGCTGTTTTCCAGCGAAGATGAGACGCTGCTGGTCTGGAGGAATACCTTCCTTATCCTGGATCTTGGCCTTCACGTTGTCAATGGTGTCAGAACTCTCCACCTCCAAGGTGATAGTCTTCCCGGTCAAGGTCTTGACAAAGATCTGCATACCACCACGTAGACGCAAGACCAAGTGAAGGGTTGACTCCTTCTGGATGTTGTAGTCGGCCAAGGTACGACCATCCTCCAACTGCTTTCCGGCAAAGATCAACCTCTGCTGGTCCGGTGGGATACCCTCTTTGTCCTGGATCTTGGCCTTCACGTTGTCGATGGTGTCCGAGCTTTCAACTTCCAAGGTGATTGTCTTTCCGGTGAGAGTTTTCACGAAGATCTGCATACCTCCACGCAGACGCAAGACCAAGTGAAGGGTAGACTCCTTTTGGATGTTGTAGTCAGCCAAGGTTCTGCCGTCCTCCAACTGCTTTCCAGCAAAGATCAACCTCTGCTGGTCCGGTGGGATACCCTCTTTGTCCTGGATCTTGGCCTTCACGTTGTCGATGGTGTCAGAACTCTCCACCTCCAAGGTGATAGTCTTCCCGGTCAACGTCTTGACAAAGATTTGCATACCTCCACGAAGCCTGAGAACAAGATGAAGGGTGGACTCCTTCTGGATGTTGTAATCGGCAAGGGTTCTGCCGTCCTCGAGTTGCTTTCCGGCGAAGATCAACCTCTGCTGGTCCGGAGGGATACCCTCCTTGTCTTGGATCTTGGCTTTAACGTTGTCGATGGTGTCAGAACTCTCCACCTCGAGAGTAATCGTCTTTCCGGTTAGGGTTTTGACGAAAATCTGCATACCACCACGGAGCCTGAGGACCAAGTGGAGGGTGGATTCCTTCTGGATGTTGTAGTCAGCCAAGGTACGGCCATCCTCCAACTGCTTTCCGGCGAAGATAAGCCTCTGCTGATCCGGGGGAATGCCCTCCTTGTCCTGGATCTTGGCCTTAACGTTGTCGATTGTGTCAGAGCTTTCCACCTCGAGGGTGATAGTCTTTCCGGTGAGAGTCTTAACGAAGATCTGCATCTGTAATTCAGAAAAAACAAAAGATCAATACAAGAACGAATATACACAAACAAGAATCAATCCGATCAAAAGACTAACACAAGATCTGAAAGACGAGAAGTATAATTCAGACGCTATGAATCAAAATCAACGAATCGACGGGTAAAATATACAGATCTGAGACTAATACAAACCCTAATAGAGAATTCAGATGAGATCTAACGATGAAACTCAGAAATTTTTCTTCGATCAAAAGATAAAACAAATCAGATTCAAAGAACAGAGACTCAATCACGATCGAACGAAACAAAATCGAAGAAACAGGATCAGGAATCCGAAGTTTACCTTTGATCACGGTTGAGAGATTTGAGAGAGAAGGATTGTTTTTAGGTTTCGAGAAACTGGAAAACGAATTGTGAAGAAGATGATGTCTTAGGGTAATGATTTATAGAAAAGGAAGAAGACGACTCGGTCACGAGAAAGCTAAGGCGGTGAAGCAATAACCAATAGAGACTTGACACGTATGTATAATGACGTGTATATTAAGCGTTGTATACACGCAAAAGTTTTGTTTTTGGCCTAGTTTTTAGGTTAAAGGAAAAGTATATAATTTTGTGCCTTGAGTTGATAAACACGACTCGTGCGCCGTGCGCCGTGTGCAACCACTTTAAACGCCGTTTATTACCACCAACTTGTGTCGACACGGCAACCACAATTTCTAACGGGGCCGACGTTGTGATTTAACGATCGTTACGATTTCTGAATTATTTATCTTTCTTTATTTTTTTTAAATAAATGGTGGAGCTGAAATATAGCAATAATTGAAGTGGTTCGTCTCTTCCATTCCCGAAACTTCGTGCTTTTTATCGTTTTCATTTTTGTAATGCAAGTGGGCTTTTTATAAAAATTTGGAAAAGTATCTTCTTTATCCGAAAAATAAATTGGAAATAATCCTTAAAATTTGTATCAAGTTGGTGTGACAAGCCAAGTTGGTTTGGTTTATTTGGTGTGACTCGGTTAAGTGTTATTTAATCAGATATATCAGTGGAGTTACTTTGAGCTAGGCCCATATATAACACTCGTGGGCTCACTCAAAGCCTCGTCCAATAATATTAGTCATTTTTAGTATGGGAATGGATCCAACGATACACAAAGCATCTCTCTGTGCTGCTAGCGAGTTGTGTTTGCTGCAATTAGGGGTATGTGTTCGTTATCTTCTTGTTCTTCATTTCTCTGTTTTCAAGTGTATGAATTGAATGAGAGTATTAGAAAAAGAGCTTTAGATGTTTGAGAATTGAGAGACATAAAACTAGTACATTGTTCTCATGTCCTTTACACAATATAACATTCAAACTTATTATATCAACAGCTACACAAAACACTCCCACTAGTCTTGATTAGTACTAGACTATGTTGCAATGAGATTTCTAAATTGTTTCCTTTCTGGCATAAGTTTAAAAGATGTGTTCTCCAATCTCCATTGGTATCATAAAGGATACCAAAGGCGTCTGGATGTGAGTTTTTGTAGCTCATGCCTTGGGCTCTCTTTCTCTTTTTGTGCTGCTAGTGTTTTTAAGTTGTGTTTGCTGCAATTAGGGTATGTGATATGTTGCAGTCTTTAGGGTTATTCAATTTTTATCTTCTTTGTTCTGCATTTCTCTGTTTCAAGTGTATCAGAAAAAAAGCTTTAGATGTTTGAGAGACATAAAACTAGTACACTGTTGTCATGTCCTCTACAGAACATAACAACATTCAAACTTATAAAGAGAGTAAACTCTCTGGGTTTTTACCAACAACTACATAAAACACTCCCACTAGCCTTTAATTAGATACTAGACTATATAGCTTTGTCTTACAAACCACTTGAACAACTAACCTAACAACTCCTATAGCTTTAAGTAGACTGATTCCATCTAGTTTAGTTCTTCTGATTTCCTTACTTGGTTTGAATACAAAACCTGCATTACTCAACAGTCTATGATCTAGTCTTGTTTCTCTTTTTGCAGAAAGCTGTGAAATGGAAAGAAAACTTTGAAAAAACACTAAAAGCTATAAGGAAAGAGGAGTAAAATTTTTGTTGCTGATGTATCATACAAAATGTCTAAAGAATTGTGAGTTAAGAGCCACGAGGAACAGACGTATGGGTAACACCTCGTGGAACCATCCAAATTACACCGGTTGAACCAGTAAAACCGTTCCACTCGAATGACTTATCTTCGTTCAATACGTTCTCCTTACTCATAAAGAAGTATCCTTGTTGAGGCAGGTTTAACCTTGAACCTTACTGGTCTCTTTAAAGAAACGTCTGGGAACCACTACAACTGTATCCCCGTTTTCTACACCGTTCCACTCAAATGACTGATCCTCGATGAGTATTTTCTTTTTGTGGATAAGGATATACCCATCTTGAGGCAGTTTCTTTATATCACCTCTCTGTTGACTCCGAACCATCTCCTCTCTCACTTTTCTCACTACATCCGTAGAGTTCACATCCACCAGAATATTCATAGGTGACACAAGTACTTTCAGTTCTGTAATAATATTGTTGCTCTTAACCTTCACAGGCGAATCTTGAATCTTAGCAGTGGTCTCTTTGGCTGAGTTTAGCTGTGGAGATGGCTTCCTTTGACGCATTTGAACATTTTTATTGCGATTCTTTGTACTAACCTTCATCATATTTGAGACATTGTTGTTGCTCCCAACCTTCATAGACAAATCTTGAATGTTAACGGTCTCCTTAACTGAGTTTGACGATGGAGATTGCTCTGTTTGATGAAGAACTTCATAACCGTTGCTGCTCCCAACCGACTCTGACAAATCTTGAATGGTGCTGCTCTGTTGGGTTGACTCATCAGGCCGATAACTATATATCTTTTTGATCTCTTCAGCTGTCAAAGGCCAACCTTGCCTCTCAAAGTACTCTTCAACTGATATCCACGGTTCTGGAGGTTGCTCGGTTTGGGGCACTAGATCTTCGTTGTTGTGATTAGGGTTATCTTCAGTAGAGACGTCGAGTTGAAGACAAGAATCGCGGAAGATCCGGCATTGTTCGACGGTAAGATCCTCTCGGAGAATAACAATGCCGTCGACGATTAGGGTTTGTTTCGAAATTGGGATACGATGAGACTTCTCGATCTTCTTCTTGACCTCTAACAGTGTATCTCTGAGATTCACTTCAATCTCTAACGATGAGCCACTCAGAATCTCGACGAGAAACTTCATTACTTCAGTACCAATGGTGTTTCAAGATCAATGAAGACTGGTGAGGAAGAGAGTCAAGAGAGAGAGAGAAAGTGATTGCTTTGTAAATAAAGTATCATCAGAACTTGGTTTTTATATCATTTTCATTTCACGTATACCAAATAGCCTAGCCTTCTTGGTTACGTGTTTCTTAAGTCAATGAAGCCTCCTCGAAGAATCTAAATCGTTGATTGCCTTTCTAACTTACATTGATCCAACGGTAAATGTTGCACTATTTTATGTACGTCTTGGTTTAATACAAAGCCAAGAATCAATTGTATCAACACTCTAGTGGATAAAGAGGGTTTAAAGTTTAATAGAAACTATGTTCGAGTAGAGACGAGCTTAATATGTGTGTGACACTGACATATGTCATCATATCATATGAGAAGAGCTATTAGAACAATTATTTTTTTTAATATATTAAATTATTAATTTATATTTGGTAGAGATATATTAGCAAAAGAGAAATTACATATGGAATTATATAATATAATCAGCTTTTATATCCTAAACCAACCAAATATGTGATTTTAAAGTATTTATTGTAATATGGAATATTGTCATAATTAATGGAGTATTGTTATATTAAGAAATGTCTAGCTGGATACGAGAATTTCCGACGATCCCGCATTGTTTCACAGTAAGATCATTTCGAAGAATAACAACGCCGTCGACAACAATGATTTGTCTGGCAACCGGGATATATTGAGACTTCTGGATCCTATTCTTGACCTGTAACATTGTATCCTTGTTATCCATTTTAACCTCGAACGGTGGACATGAACCATTTAGAACCTTCACAACAAACTTCATTATTTTATCAACAAATGTAGATTTAAGTGATCGTTTTGTAACGAAAATAGATAAATGGACAACTATAAGAAGATGAAGTAGAATAAGGGGTGGTATTGGTTTGTGTTTATATAGTGTTTTAATGACCTTAAATGTTATGTAGAATCTGTTGTTATTCAATCAAAATTTAATTAAACTCTTTTAAATTTTGCTGTTATTAGTTATTGATTTGTAAAAATTCATTTAAAATCTTAATAATAATGGAGTTATTGAATTCATACTTTTATAAAGTCATTAAAGGTTTTGTGTTATTCAATCAAAACAAAAGAATCTCTGATTGTTGATGAATTAAATTATTATGTTATTGGTTTATGATTTTAAACATTTTCTTTACAAATAAAGTCATGAAAAGTATCATCAAAATAGAGAGATTGTTTGAAAGACTATGATTTTCTCAAAGTCATCTAAATTTCTTATTTATGTAGTAAAATAGAAGTACACATTTCAATATTAGACACTTTATTTGTAAAGAAAAGTATATAAAATCATAAACCAATAACATAATAATTTAATTCATTAACAAATAAAGAGTCTTTTATTTAATTGAATAACACAAAACTTTTAATGATTTTCTAAACTTCTGAATCCAATAACCACATACTTATGAAGATTTAAAATGATTGTTTACAAATCAATGACTAATAAGACCAAACTTTAAAAGAGTTTAATAAAATATTGATTGAACAGATTTTACATAACATTTAAAGTCATTAAAACACTATATAAATCATTAACCAATACCACCCCTTATTCTACTTCTTCTTCTTATAGTTGTCCATTTTATCTATTTTTATTACAAAACGATCACTTAAATCTTAATTTGTTGATTGAAATATAAGTTTGTTGTGGAGATTCTGAGTGGTTCATCGTTTGAGATTGAAGTGGATAACAAGGATACATTGTTGGAGGTCAAGCAGAAGATTGAGAAATTTCAACGTATCCCTATTTCCAAACAAACCATTGTCGTCGACGGCAATGTTATTCTTCGAGATGATCTTAATGTGGAACAATGCAAAATCGTCCAAGATTCTTGTATCCAGCTAGACCTTTCTTAATTATGAAAATACTCCTTAATGTAGTCATTACTACTTTTGTTCAAACATTTTTGTCATCACTAATTAATTAGTTATTAGCCAATATTTTAATTAGTCAACACTTAGAGTATTTCTTACCATTTTAAACCAGTTATATATGTGGTCCGTAATTAATTTTGGCCATTTTGCATCGAATAATTTTGGAAAGAAATATTTTTGATTAAATTTTGAATTGGTTGATAATTGGATTAAAAACAAATAAAAATTAGACATGTCTTTAGTAACAGCTGCATGAATATCGAGATATTAAATATTTTTGGTAAATATCTCATAATTAAATATAGAGAATACATCCGTTGAAGATAATAATGAAAGATTTCCAAAGATCTTACTGTTACTGCATCAACCTCTCATCTGCTTCCAATGAGGATATGGAGCAACATGATCATTGTTGTTGTTGTTGCTCTCAACCTTCACGCTCGTCGAGGCTCTCTTGTTACCTCTTACCATGACCGGCGAATCTTGAACCTTACTGATCGCTTGGTTCGTCTCAGTTTGGTAATTATAAATCTTTCTCATCTCATCCGCTGTCAAAGGCCAATCTTGCCTCTCAAAGTACTCTTCTACTGGAATCCACGGTGCTAGCGTTTGTTCAGTTTGCGGCATTTGCATTTGATCATCGTTGTCATAAGAAAGGTCTAGCTGAAGACATGAATCGTAAACGATCTTGCATTGTTCCACGTTAAGATCCTTTCGAAGAATAACAATGCCGTCGACGATAAGGGTTTGCTTCGAAACAGGGATACCTTGAGACTTCTCGATCTTCTCTTTGACCTCTAACAATGTATCTGTGTGATTCACTTCAATCTCGAACGATGAGCCACTTAGAACCTCAACGAGATACTTCATCTATAGAGACTACTGATAAGACAACGAAGAAAGAGAGATATGTATATGAAAGTGATAAGTTTTGTAAGTAAGTTTACGTAGAATTTTGTTTATATAGCTTTGAAATGGACCTTCTCAAGTCAATGAAAAGCCTCGGAGAAGAATCTAAACCGTCTATATTTATATTTACCATAATGATCCATAACGGTTAAAAGAAAGATTTAGATTTGACCCATTAAACCGGAAAAGTTGACCGTCTATGTTTTAAAAGGGAATGTAACTTGTTGACCCATCAGTGGTACTTCTTCGATTAGTATTTTTCTTCTTGTGATAAATTAAAGGGAATGTAACTTGTTGTTAAAGATTAATAGAAACAAGTTTAAGCTCAAAATTATTTATAGGTAAATTACATTAAAAAAAAACTTAAATAGGAGACTTCTGAGAGGCTAAACCCTTCGATACAACAAAATGTAACCATAGTTTTTTTTGTTCTATGTATGGACATAAATTGTTGCTAGAGACCTCTTTTTGAATCCAAAGAGTCACGGGTCATAAGATAGACACAAACACTTCTAATCCTTATCATAATATAATTAGGAGACTTATCAAACTAGATAATCCTTATCTTCAATATTTCCCAAGAAAATACATAACCCTCGTATCTTTACTCTCACTGGAATTTGGCATGATCACTAGTAATATTATCACCATTTCTTTGGCGAATCTTGAATGCTATTGCTCTCTATAACTGAGTTTAACGGAGGAGATTCCTCGGTTTGAACTTCTTGATGAATGGTCACAGTCGAATCTTGATGACCGTTGATGATCTGTTTTGATGCGTCTGACGGTGGGGATTGATTGTTGTTCCTCGCCGAAGAATCTTGAACGTAAATTGCATCAGTTTCCACGGGGCAGAAAAGTTTATTTTTCAAGACAAGTTCGGTTGTCAAAGGCAAGTCCTCACCGTAGATGAGATCTCCGATTGAGTTTGACGGTATTGGCACTGGAGATTGCTCTGTTTGAGGAACTTGACCGTTAGGGTAAGGAGGAGATACGAAGGCTATGACTGGAGAGTTGTGGAGAAGCTTGCATTGTTCGATATAAAGATGATCTTGAAGAACGTTGCCTCAGAAGAAAAGGGTTTGTTTCGAAACAGGGATGCGTTGATACTTCTCGATCTTCTGCTTCATCTCCAACACTGTGTCCCAGTAACCCAATTCAATCATGAACGTGTAGCCACTCTGAGTTTCGAAGAGCACATCCATATTTGTGTCAACGGTGTTTCAAGATCAATGCTTGAACAAGAGAGTGAAGAGAGATGGGGAGAGAGAAATATCATAACTTGTTTAAATATCATTTTGAAGTCAATGAAAGTCTCATTAGAAAAATGAGAAACATCATAACTTGGTTTAAATTTTACTTTGCAGTCAATGAAATCATCATCAAATAACCTTAACCGCTCGATAGTTCTTTTTACCAAAATGATTTGACGGTTGTAACTTGTAAGTAAGCATCTGAATCTAAATCGTTGATTGGCTTTCTAACTTACATTGATCCAACGGTAAATGTTGCACTATTTTATGTACGTCTTGGTTTAATACAAATCCAAGAATCAACACTCTAGTGGATAAAGAGGGTTTAAAGTTTAAAAACTCTGTTCGAGTAGAGACTATCTTAATATGTGTGTGACACTGACATATGTCCAGTGACATATGTCATCATATCATATGAGAAGAGCTATTAGAACAATTATTTTTTAATATATTAATTTAAATGTGGCAGCGATATATTAGCAAAAGAGAAATTACATATGGAATTATATAATATAATCAGCTTGAGAAGTATCTGATTTATATTCTAAACCAACTAAATATGTAATTTTAAAGTATTTATTGTAAATGGAGTATTGTCATAATTAATGGAGTATTGTCATCATTAAGAAAGGTCTAGCTGGATACAAGAATTTTGGACGATCTTGCATTGTTCCACAGTAAGATCATTACGAAGAATAACAGCGCCGTCGACGACAATGGTTTCTTTAACAACAGGGATACGTTGAGACCTCTAGATCTTTTTCTTGACGTCAACAATGTATCCTCGTTATCCACGTAATCTCGAACGGTGAACATGAACCATTCAGAACCTTCACAACAAACTTCATTGTTCTATCAACAAATTAAAATTTAAGTGACCGTTTTGTAACGAAAATAGATAAAATAGACAACTATAAGAAGATGAAGTAGAATAAGGGGTGGTATTGGTTTGTGTTTTTTTTTTGGTTGAGGTATTGGTTTGTGTTTATATAGTGTTTTAATAACCTTAAATGTTATGTAGAATTTGTTGTTATTCAATAAAATTTTAATTAAACTCTTTTAAATTTTGGTGTTATTAGTTATTGATTTGTAAAAAGTCATTTAAAATCTTATTAAATATGGAGTTATTGAATTCATACTTTTATAAAGTCATTAAAGGTTTTGTGTTATTCAATCAAAACACCTACAATGTAACTTGTAATTGAAGTTTCCAATTTTTATTGTGTTAGTATTACCGTTGATAACTTTATGGTCTTTTTTTTTTGGTAAATTAGAAGACAACGACCAATATTTTTGAAAATGTGTTATATTGCCAATGAACAGGCATAAATATATGTTGTGGGCTAATGCATGGATTCCAAATAAAAGGATGCAAATATCACAAAATTAAATACTTCGAAATATATTCAGCTTTTTCTTCGTTATGCCAAAACAAATTGAATCTCCCTTTTATGTTCTATCTAAGACTCTAAAGCTCACATGCCTTGTGTTCTCTCTCTCCCTCTCTCTCTCTTCTGTGAACTTTAAAACTTGAAGAAAGATTGAAAGCCATAAGCAAAGAAGAGACGGCAGAGTTATTAAAACCTTCAAATATGATAAAATCCACATATATAACTTTTTTTGTTGTTGTTGCAGTACAATGTATCAGAGCTTTTGTGAATCTAAAGAAGGGTGTGACTTAAGAGCTAGGGGTAACATATTTGGGACGGATCTCAACTGTAAAGTCGAAAGGAGTAACACCATTCCACTCAAATGACTGATCTTCGTTCAATACTTTGTTTCTGTGCGTTAAGAAATAACCATGTGGAGGCAGAGGTATAAGACCCATCTCATAACTCTGAGCCAACTCGTTTCTCAGTTTCTTCACCTGGTCCGTCGTGTTCACATCCACCTTTATGTTCAGCCCAACTTTACCCCCACCGTAATATGGCGTCACAAGTACAAACATTCTCTGCTCCCGGACTTTCTTTTTTTTCCTCACCTTCATACGCGAATCTTGATACTTAACCTTCTTAACTGAGTCTAACGGTGGAGGTTTCTCGGTTCGAGGCACTTGATGATTACTGTCTTTGTTGCTCACAGCCTTCACAGACGAATCTTGAATGTTAACGGTCTCTTTAACTGAGTTTGACGGTGGAGATTTCTCAGTTTGTAGTTCTTGATCAAGAACCGTCACAGTCAAATCTTGATGACCGTTGGTGATCTGTTTTGCTGCGTCTGACGGTGGAGATTGATCGTTGTTCCTCACCGGTGAATCTTGATGACCGTTGATGGTTTGTTTGGCTTCGTCTGACGGTGGAGATTGATCGTTGTTCCTCACAGGCGAATCTTGATGACCGTTCATGATCTGTTTGGCTTCTTCTGACGGTAGAGATTGATCGTTATTCCTGACCACCGGCGAATCTTGATCGTATACTTCATCGGTTTCCTCAGGGAAGAAAGGTCGAATTTTCGAGACAAGTTCGGTTGTCAAAGGCAAATCCTCACCGTAGATGAGATCTCCGACGGAGTTTGACGGTATTGGAACAGGAGATTGCTCTGTTTGAGGAGCTTGATCGTTAGGGTAAGGAGGAGATACGAAGACTAGGACTCGAGAGTTGTGGAGAATCTTGCATTGTTCGATATAAAGATGATCTTGAAGAACGTTGCCTCAGAAGAAAAGGGTTTGTTTCGAAACAGGGATGCGTTGATACTTCTCGATCTTCTGCTTCATCTCCAACACTGTGTCCCAGTAACCCAATTCAATCTCGAACGTGTAGCCACTTTGAGTTTCGAAGAACACATCCATAATTGAATCAATGGTGTTTCAAGATCAATGGAGAGACTGCTGACGAAGAAAGTGAAAGAGAGGGGGGAGAGAAGAAGCTTGGTTTAAATAAGGAATACTTAGGATTTTAGTACATTTTTCATACTTAATTAGTAAAGTAGTACAATTACTATTTATAATTGAAAAATTAGTCAATTTTCCCTATGTTCGAAGACTTTAAAACCTTCTCAACCCTCTCATATTTAAACTAAATGCCATTTAACTTACTTTTTATATTTTTTTTCTCTCCTTTTGTAATCTAATAAATAAAATATTAGTTAATATTATTTTATTTTCTGAATTTTTTGATAATTAAATTTATATATATATATATACAGAATTTTTATTTTTACACTCATATTTACTGTATATTATAGAAGTTATATGAATAAAATATGTATATATGTACAGAAATATATGTACATATATATATAATTTTACAAGTATAAACACTTTACAGTTAAAATATATGTACAAATACCTACAATCGTACAAAATAATGTATGTACAATACAATTGTACATATATAAAAAGTTGTACATCAGTATTTCTATACATATACGTCTTTCGGTACAGACATACAAATGTACGAATCATAATTTGTATAAAATATATTTGAAAATACTAAACAATATGCATATCAAATTGTAGAGAAAAATATGATTTTTACGTTTCTAAATTTTTATTTAAAAAATAAATTCATACAACTAATATTTTAGTTATTAAATTAGTGGAAGAATGTAAGAAATAAAAAAAATAAAAGTTGATAATATAATAGAGAGAAAGAGAAGATGGAGGGCATTTGATATGAGTGTAGGACAATTTGGTAACTGCAAAAATTCTATTAGAGAATAGCTTCGATTAGATACACAGTAATATATGGGGTTTTTACTATTTGTAAATAGTAAAGTGACTATATACCATATTAAGTTTAGAAAATCATATATATAAAAGTAAGGTTCCACTCTCTCCTTATTGGTGGAAAAATATTTAAGGATTTAATTTAAAAAATAAAATAAAATAAATGTTTATGACAATCATTCAATACAAAATTTAATTACATTATAAGTTATAATCAAATGGCAAAGAAAATGAAAGGACTTAATCATATATCATTCAACAAAATAAATAAATAAATAAATGTTTATGACAATCATTCAATACAAAATTTAATTACACTATAAGTTATAATCAAATGGCAAAGTGGAAAAATATTTAAGGCTTTAATTTAAAAAATAAATTAAATAAATGTTTATGACAATCATTCAATACAAAATTTAATTACACTATAAGTTATAATCAAATGGCAAACAAAATGAAAAGACTTAATCATATATCATACAACAAATTTTATAAGCCTTATTGGTGGAAAATTATTTAAAATCATATATATAAAAGTAAGGTTCCACTCTCTTTATTGTTCCATTTTGTATTTATTTTTTAAAATATAATATTTATTTTTAACCAAAAAAACACATTTAATCATATACATTAATTCATACTTTAAATTCACACTTTAGTACTAAAATGAAACTGAAAATTATATAAATTTCCAAAGACTATTGGTTTTCTATATTGAATTCCAATTAAACACACTATAAATTATAATTATAACTCCTCTAATTTAATTATTTTAAAAATAAAACTTACATCACTTCTTATCATATAAATATCCATTCTCATATCATTCTCTACCATATCTCATATCTTCATTATTCTCTTTGTTTTTTTTTTTAAATTCTTGCATGGGGTGAAAACTCATTTAAAATATCATTGTAAGAGTTTGATTAATTATTTAGTTTAAACTTTTGTTTTCAATTTTATTTATTTTTTGTTTTTATGTATTTCTTTATGTCTTCATTGTTTTTTATATTTTTAAATGTAATACATATGTATAATAATATTTTATGGTTATAAGAAAATCAAGCTAAAGAAACCATCTTCATTCTTTTACTTTGGATGTTTGTTTCTTTCTCACATATTCATGTATATTTAATTTATTTTCAAAAGTATGTAATTTTTTAACAAAATAAACTTTTTGTTATATAATTATCAAACCAATTTGTAAGACATTCTTTTAAGAATAATGATCCTTATATTTAGTTTGTGATTCAACATGTAATAATACAAAGAACATTATAATTTGTTTTAACTTTGAATTTTATACTTGATTTCCTATCTAAAAACAATTTGATATTCCATTTTCTATCTATTATATATACTACAAGGATGAAAAATATAATTAAACCTAGAAATATAACTTCAATTAAGAGGAATATGAAAAGAGATTAAAAATAAAATTATTTCTTGAGAATTTTTAAGGGTTCACTCTCTCCTTATTGGTCCATTTAGCATTTATTATTTACTTATAATATTTATTTTTAATTAAACCAAATATCTAACACATTTAGTCATATATTTTAATTCATACTTGAAATCCACACTTTACTATTAAATTGTAAATTAAATTATATAACCTTTCAATTGACTATTTGTTTCCTCCATTTAACTTCAATTAACACACTATAAAATATAATTATAACTCCTCTGATTCTAATTATTTTAGAATTGTAACTTACATCATATTTTATCCTATAAATACTCATTTTTACATCCTCCTCCACCATATCTGATATTCTCAATATTTTCTTTGTTTAATTTTTAATGTTCTTACATGGGTTGAAAGCTCAATTAAGATATCATTGGAAGAGCTTGATTATATATTTGGTTAAAACTTTTGTTTTCAATTATATTTCTTCTTTATTTTATGTACTTCTTCATTTTTTTCATTATTTTTTAATACTATTAAATGTATAATACATATGTATAATAATATTTTATGGCTATAAGGAACTTACTTTATCGATGGGATTCAAAAATATTGATTTCTGACCATCGCACCATAAGAAAATCAAGCTAAATAAACCATTTTCATTGTTTTACTTTATATGTTTTTTACTTTCTCACATATTCATGTATATTTATTTTATTTTCAAAGTATGTAATTATTTTAACAAAATATTTTTTGTTATATTCAAACCAATTTGTAAGACACTGAAATAAATAAAATTTTATACACAAATAAAGGTAATTTTGTGTATATTTATAAGTTTACACACATATTTGGATAAATTTCAACATTTTTATTGATTGTTTTTATAAAGTTTGAAAAGGGGGTAAATTTAAAAAGTGGTATTATTAAAAGGGTATTTTTTAAATTCTCCCAATATCATTCCTATTTTTATCATTAACAATATTATTGTTTTATCAAATAATACTTAAAAGTACTAAAGAAAATTACTATCAAAATTGATTAATTGAACAATTAATCAACGAATAAATTCAAAAGATATGGATGTATGCTTCTATTGTATGATTTAAATAAATAACATGTAAAAATGTCATAAGCATTAAAATTTATTTAATCTATTTTTATAAGTAATAAATAAATTAAAATTAAATAAATTAAAATAATTAAATAAATATACAATAACCCGCGCATATGCGCGGGACATTACCTAGTGTACTAATAAAGTTTCTTTTTAAATTATATCACAAGTCATCAACAGAATCTTAACCGTCTATAGTTATTTTTACTAAAATGATCCAACGGCTGTAAGTAAACGTTCTTTTGTTATAAGAAAAGACAATTTCTTAGAAAGCAAGAAACTTGAGAAAAGACTGAGATATAAAGCTACAAGGAAGGAAGAGAGACTGCAGAGAGAGTTAAAAGCTTGAACATTTTAGGTATTAAGATCCACCGGAAACACTTCCGTTGAAAATCTCAATCGTGTCGCCGTGATCAACACGGTGCCACCGGAATGACCTGTCGTCGTCCATTACATTCTGTTTATATATAAAGAAATAACCATCTTGAGGCAGACTTAACTGAAACCTCTGTTGAACCTTAGCCAGCTCTTTCCTTAATTCTCCAACGTTATCACCTGCGTTCACCTCCACTGGAATCTTCCTTGTCCCGCATTTCAGCAGCACCATTACCTTCAGCTTCTTCGGGTTGTTGTTGTTGTTGCTCATTGCCATCATCACAGTTGAGTCTTGATGACCGTTGACGAACTGTTCTGTTGACTTTGGCTGTGGAGATTGCTCTGTTTTCAACACTTGGTTGTAGCGGTTCTGGTTACTGGTTTGGTCGGGAGAAGGGACGTAAAGCTGGATACGAGAGTTGTCAAGGATCATACATTGCTCGATGTTAAGATGATCTTGAAGAACGTTGCCTTGGAAGAAAAGGGTTTGTTTGGAAACTGGGATGTGTTGATACTTCTCGATCTTTTGTTTGATTTCAAACACTGTATCCCAGTAACCCAATTCAATGCTGAACGGTGAGCCTTTCTGAGTCTCGAAGAACACATCCATAACTGTATATCAATGGTGTTTCAGTTTCAATGGAGACTGCTAAAGAAGAGAGATAGAACTTAGGGACTTTTTGTAACTGAAGGTTCCGCAGAATGTACTAACTAAATAACCTATTTCCATGGGAATTTCTTTTTTTACAATCTTGAGAATTTTTGATATAAATACAAAATTTGTGTGGATCATTATCTTATTTTCTCAAGTTTTAGTTGTGTTTGATCTTTTTTTTTCTTCTTAAATAATAATTATCTTCCGAGTTTTGTTGTTGTCGTTATGGATATTAATTGATTTTCTGTTTTGTTTTGAAAAGGGATGTTAATTGATTAAATCTTAAGTATTTAACTGAAGAAAATAGTCAAACTTACTCTGTTTTGATTCTGGATTCGATAAGCCTAAATCTTGTCTTATCGGACCTCTTCATACCATTGCATTGAGCCATTGAGTAATGATTGTTTACTGTTATATACTCATTTGGTCTAACTTGAGTATCAAGTTTGACTAAAATTAATGTTTTCTGTAATTAAGGCAAATGCTTACTGTATAGTGCCATTTACTCATTTGTTTTTAAACACATATCAAATGGATCTCGTTTGGGCCTGGCCCATATAAATATACAAAGTTGTAGCCTTTGTAAGTATCACCCTCGTAAACAACACTGTAGCCTGTAGGTATCGTAAACACAAGTTTCATTGGAGTTAAAAAAAAAAAAAAAAAAAAAACACAAATTTTGTTGAATTAAAACTTTTAAATTTAGCTTCAATAGGTTGTATTAAGAAACTTTATACGATTCTCTTGCAAATAAAAAACATACGGTAAGGAAAAGGTTTTGAATACAAATGTGTTCACTTTACGTAATCTGATTCCTTTCTTCTCCAAACACTTCAAGAACTATTCAACTTTTCCTCTTCATATATAACTCCTACACTCCAAAAACTGTCCTGTTCAAACTCTCCATAGTTTTTTCTTTTGCCAGAGAAACCATCAGAGCACAATGACACCAGACCGAACTACTATCCCAATCCGCACCAGTCCCGTGCCCCTAACTCAACAACCCTTGAAGCGTCACCACTCGGCTAGCTACTATGCTCACCGGGTCAAAGAAAGCCTCTCAACCAGGATATCAAAGTTCATCTGTGCAATGTTTCTTTTGGTTTTGTTCTTTGTAGGCGTCATTGCTTTTATCCTTTGGCTTAGTTTACGCCCTCATCGACCTCGGTTCCATATCCAAGACTTTGTTGTCCAAGGTCTAGACCAGCCTACTGGATTTGAAAGTGCAAGAATTGCTTTCAATGTAACCATACTTAACCCAAACCAACACATGGGTGTTTATTTTGATTCCGTGGATGGTTTCCTTTACTATAAAGATGAACGTGTCGGGTCAAGCCCGTTGCTAGATCCGTTTTTTCAGCAGCCAACTCACACAACGATTGTAACCCGGACGCTTACTGGAGCTTCCTTAACGGTAAATAGTAACCGTTGGACCGAGTTTACTAATGATCGGGCTCAAGGAACCGTGGGTTTTAGGCTCGATATAGTTTCGAATATTCGGTTTAAACTCCATAGGTGGATCAGTAAGCACCATAGGATGCACGCTAACTGCGATATCGTCGTTGGACGAGACGGGTTAATCTTGCCCAAGTTTAACCATAAACGGTGTCCCGTCTACTTCTCTTAGATTGATTGATTGATTCGTTGTTTGCTGTTTTCTCTTTTGTATTTTACTTTTCCTTTTGAATGATTTTGCTTTTTGACGTTTGTAATTTGGATTTGGGAGGTTGTTTTTTTCTTATTAAATGTATGATCTTTGAGTTACATATATCAAAGAAAGCTTTGGCAAAAGATTTGGTAAACGTAAAACTCAAAGCAATTGGCAGATAACTTCAAGTCTTCAACCTATTAACTCAATTTTGTAAGACGAAACAATGTAATTTAGAAGCAAAAGTAGAGCACGGCTCTGTTTTTGGCTCTGTTCTGTCAATGATGGATCAGTTCAGGCTTTAATTTCGACAAATTCAAGAAACAATATCGAAGCAAATTCAATAGAAAAGAAATCTAGATGCTTACGGATAGAGATGAAGCACTGCACGATTTCATAACTCCAATTTTAAAGTGTAAGTTTTTACCTTTGCTACACTGGTGACATGGTCTCGAACAATAAACAGAACGAAAGATAAAAGTATTTCAAATTGTTCTTCAGAATCAACAAAGCAATCTAGGAGTACTTATTTGAGGCTTCTTCACCATGTTTCCGTGGTCGTCCACATAAAACCCAAATCCTGAACAGTTAAAGACCAATCTCAACAAATAACAATACTCAGAAGCCAAATTCTGGTCAACATTATTACCTCCACTAGTTCTTTACTCTTGAGAATTACAACAAAACACAAGAAATATCATCAGCAACAACCAATTACAATCAAATAGAACACAAAACTAAAATTTCTCAATCAGGACTCTTAATATTTAAGTTCTTGAATCTATCGCTATATCTAGCTTTATTGCTTACAATAATGCTGAATAAACCATATCTAGATCAAGAACATATTTACTTGAAGCATCAACCCACAGTATCTATTCTCAAACTTCATAAACACACATTTTAGACCTATCTTATACACGAAAAAAGCGTTTTTTGATCTACGAATATCACTGCATATTCTCAGAAGACATTTCAACAAACACCATGCGTGCATGATGACTTGATGAGCTAAAACACCAACAAATTTCAAACTTGTAAGAAACATTAACAGTGACAGAAAAAATTCGTCTCCTAGCCAAAACGCAAGGTAGCTTTTATCAAGAAGACGCCATGATTGGAAGAAGAAACTGAGACAAATCTTCCCAAAGTAGTCGCCATAGTCAACCCTAACAGAGAGGAAAATGAATAATATACTTAAGATTCCCCAAAAAAACCTTTGAGGCTTTGACCAAACATGTTTCTTTAATCAGATCATTATTTCAATGATTACGACACAAATCTTGAAAAATCTCTAACAGAACACTTTGATGACATGTTTTGAACAAGTCTTACCATTGAAATCAAAATGTTCTGTAATCATGATTGATCATATTGCAGTAATCACAAAGAACAGAACAATAGCTTAATAAGAAACAAAAAAAACATGTCTTTTTGTTTAAAATCCTCTGTTTCTCTGATCTTGATTTTCTTGTTTATGAGCTTAAACTCGATTTCTTCTGCAACAGATCCAACTTATCTCTACCACATATGTCCAAACACAACAACGTTCAGAAAAAACAGCACTTACTTAACCAATCTCCGAACCGTTCTATCATCTCTCTCTTCTCCAAACGCAGATTACGAATCGCGTTTCGATAACGCAACAGCTGGTGATGATAATGACAACAACAACAGAGTCTACGGCGTTTTCCTCTGCCGCGGAGACGTCTCAGTCGCTACATGTCATGACTGTGTTGCGTTTGCGGCCAACGAGACGCTGCATAGGTGTCCGAGAGAGAAAGAGGCAGTGATCTGGTACGACGAGTGTATGGTAAGATACTCGAATCAAAGCATCGTAGGGAAGATGAGAGTTAGCCCAGAAGTTGTTTTCTTCTGGAACACGCAAAACATAACAGAGAATCAAGTGAGCAGTTTCAACGAGTCTTTGGCTGCTTTGTTGATCAAAGTTGCGGTGAAAGCCGCTTCGAGCTCGAGAAAGTTCGCTACAGAGAAAGCGAATTTCACAGTTTTTCAAACTATCTATAGCCTTGTGCAGTGCACTCCGGATTTGACGAATCAAGATTGTGAGAGCTGTTTGAGACAAGCTATTAATTGGTTGCCTGACTGTTGTGATCGAAGAATTGGCGGGAGAGTAATCGTGGCTAGTTGTAGCTTTAGATACGAGCTTTATCCGTTTTACAATGAAACTATTACTGCGGCTGCAGGCGCTCCTCCTCCTTCAATGTTGGCTGCACCACCACTGAAGTTTCCTTCAGAAAAAGGTGAAATTTTGAAACTTTGAAAGATATTTTTATGTTTTATGTTTCAAAAGGTATAATCTTTGATAAGCTAAGTAGCAGAACACAAGTCTGAAGGGTATTTTCTTGTTGTTATGTTTTTGAAATTGTGTGTAGGGAAAGGCAAGAACTCGAAGGTGACAGTAACCGCGGTTGCTGTACCGGTTTCTGTCTGCGTGTTACTTCTCGGTGCTGCGTGTTGTTTACTAGTAAGAAGAAGGAAGAAGCTTAGTGCTGAAACAGAGGAATTAGGTAAACCAAAAAGGATTGAGCTTGTCATCTGCTAGTCTAATTTCTTGAAACTATCTTGAGGATTCCCATCTTTTTTTTATTGTAGATGGGGATAATATTACATCAACAGAAACATTGCAATTCCAATTTAGTGCAATTGAGGCAGCTACTAATAAGTTCTCAGAAAGTAACAAGCTTGGTCATGGTGGATTTGGTGAAGTTTACAAGGTAACTAATTCTTGTAATCATAGTTTAACAGAACAAAAAAAAATAGATTAATGCTGTAAAACAATTCAGGGCCAGCTTATAACTGGTGAAACCGTAGCGATAAAGAGACTATCTCGAGGATCGATGCAAGGAGCTGAAGAATTCAAGAACGAAGTTGATGTGGTCGCGAAGCTACAACACAAGAATCTTGCTAAACTCTTGGGATATTGCTTACATGGAGAAGAGAAAATACTTGTTTATGAGTTTGTTCCTAACAAAAGCCTCGACTGTATCATTTTCGGTATAACAAATCATCATCACTCATTCCTCTAAAGAAACTATCGGTTTTTCGGCTTAGTTAATTTTTTGTTTGTTTGTAGATAATGAAAAGAGAGGACTTTTGGATTGGCAAAGAAGGTACAAGATCATTGAAGGGATAGCACGAGGGATGCTTTATTTACATCGAGATTCTCGGCTTACGATCATTCACCGTGACCTTAAAGCAAGTAACATACTCTTAGATGCAGACATGAATCCAAAGATCTCAGATTTCGGTATGGCGAGGATCTTTGGTGTGGATCAAACTCAAGCCAATACTCAAAGAATAGTTGGTACATAGTAAGTTGTTTCTTCCTCTTGTGATATTGACACTTCAATTAGTTATTTGATTTCCCCATTTTGCTTAAACAAGTTCTCTCTTTAGTGGTTATATGTCTCCTGAGTATGCAATCCACGGGCAGTACTCGGTGAAATCGGATGTTTATAGCTTTGGAGTCTTGGTTCTTGAACTTATAACTGGCAAAAAGAACAGTTGCTTTTATGGAGAAGATGGTCTTGGAGATTTAGTTGCCTACGTGAGTATATTTTTAACCAATCAAGAACTTCTTTAGAAGTAATGTTTTCCAAAACATTCAAATGGAAACCAAAATAATTCTGCAGGTGTGGAAGCTATGGGTGGAGAATTCACCATTGGAGCTAGTGGATGAAGCAATGAGAGGGAATATTCAGACAAGTGAAGTGATCAGATGCATTCACATTGCTCTGTTATGTGTCCAAGATGATTCTTCAGAGAGACCCTCAATGGATAAGATACTTGTGATGATGAACAGCTTCACTGTTACTTTACCAGTTCCAAAGAGATCTGGTTTTCTTCTTCAAACCATGAGAGACTCTAAATATCAACAGTCAGGAGCTTCTGCATCTGATCAGTCAGCAACAAGCAAGTCTTTGCCTCCGTCTGTTGACGATTCTTCCATTACTATTGTTTATCCTCGTTGACTTTTTTGTGTACTCACTGTTTGTAAATAGAGTGTGTAGACCAAAAATGTTGTGTTGAAATTTGAAACTATGTAAAACAACAGATCAAGAATTTATTTAGTTATCTGTTATAAGAGAATTACATAACCAAAACAACTCTTTAAGAAGACAAACATGGAGATTTCCTCACACGACATTGCTAAGATAGCAAGTTGCTCACACAATCAAATTGAGAGCACACTACAAGGTTCCCGATTCTTATGACCTTAAAAGCTTGGTACAGAAAAAATCTAAGCCAAAACCACGATCAGAAAATTACAAACCTCTAAAACAATTGATGTTGTTATACATATGGTAGAGAAACTCGAGCAACCAGTTTTAACCATAACTTAGGCGAGAGTCGAGGAGTTTTGCGGAAGTTTGTCTGCGAGGTATTCCAATCTCACATGCATTCACTCTAGCAGCAAACCGAAGAGAGCATAAGGACTCTCCAGTAGAAGATGGATCAGGTGATATGTTCACAAACATTAAGGTCTTTGAGTCTCCTCCTAAACATGGCTGCTCAAAAATGATTCCCCTTTATTAGAAATAATCTAGATAGACAGATTTTATGCATAATCATTCAGAAGTCGAAATGTAATCAAACCTGGAGCAAATATGTCAACTTTGAGTTTCTGAAAGGAACATGATCCTCTTTCTTAGCCAATGCAAATATAACATCACTCAAAGCAGACAAGCTTTTGTTTATAGCCTGGTGAGGGAAAGAACAAAGATCAAAGGGTAAGTCCAAGAACTCAATGGGAATATCTTGGAAGACTGTATTTGAAAAGGCAAAAACCTGTGTCTCCTTTAACCGCTCTCCGGTTGCCCCGCTCTTTGAGAGTCGCTCACTTCCAGCAAGATCAATTAAGTTAAGAACTCCTTGTACCTGCTGTTCAGTGCTCTGAGATAGGAGAGAGTGTTGATGCTTAATTAGAATTTTATAAGTGAGAAATAAACAACACAAAAAATTTAACAACCGAAAGGCAAAGAAATTAACCTCATTCACACCAGAAATCCGAAGAGTAAACACGAAATGACTTCTTGACGACTGCTCGTTCATATGAGTCTTACCAACGGACCTGCAACATAAGAGTTCACAGTGCTTTAGCTTTGTAATTTGTTATATCAGAACAAATACAGAAACAATTCTCGAAATGCTAGCAATGAATTGAACCAAAGAAAGTAGTATAGCTACTAATACAACACTTGGATATGAAAATAAAAACTGAAAATCCCAAAACTCAAGACAAACCTGCTATGAGCAGCCTGTTGCAATAGTGAGGAAATTTGTCCAATGCTACACACATCTACTATTGTCAGGTCACTGACATGAGTGTTTCCATTAGCATCATGTGTGATTGTATACTGTCTCCCAGAGGTGCTGCTACTCTCTCCTCGTACAGACTCTATACCAATTGTTCGGTTTGTTAAAAGCAAGTCTCTGATGGACTCGTTGTAGATCTCCAACATTGAGACCTACAAGTAAATTAGATATAAAAAATGTTACCAAGGAAAGCATTCAAAACTTAGAATCTTTTAGGAGAAATATGTACCTGCATCTTGTATTTCCAGCCTTGTGCACTAAGAGACTGGCTGGTTTTGAAGATTTGTTCAAGTGATCGAGGGATCAGTCCAAACTGTTCTGGCTTCTCCGGCCTGCCCATCATGGTGTAAGTTTTTCCAGAACCTGTCTGACCGTATGCAAAAATACACACCTGTCCACAAAGATTTGAGAAAGATGCAATGACAAAGGAATCAGTCAAAAGATTTGAGAAAGATGCAATGACAAAGGAATCGGTCAAAATGTTGTCTGCCAAACATAAAGAAGAGTATTTAATAAAATCAGCTAAACTACATATGAACAATAACAATGATTCAAATACTTGTATCTAACTAGCTTTTGCATATTGGGTATCTACAAGATAGTCAAAAGAAGGAAGATACTGAACCTTGTAGCCATCTAATGCACTCTGTACTAGTTGAGATATTTCAAAGAATACTTCCTCCTGAGAAGCCCCATGGTCAAAGACCTTGTCGAAGGTGAAAGGATGCTTGTTACCTAAGAACCCCAAATAAAGCACAAGGCACGTAAAATGAACTAATGTAAGCATCTTATCTAGCTAAGCAAAGTTAAAAAGGTGAGTCTCTGAATATACCACTTTGGACCACATCAATGCCTCTCCCAAGAGATTCAGTTGACGTAGGATAAGCAATAACACTGGCCTCTTGGCGTCCATCATCTGGTAGCAAGGGGCGCACTCGGCAGAAAACACGTATGTTTCCTTTCAGTTCCTGAAATAAAAGCTTTACTTAGCGAACATTAAGAAAGCCAGTAGAACTTAAAATGTATCCAAACACTAAATATTCTGATGGAGTTAAGGTCGGATAATAAGACTAGAAGAAAGAGATCCATCTGGAAAATAAACTTTTAAAAGAAAATAATGATATGAGATTTCTCTTCTAGCCATCCCAATAAACTTTCAGACTTAGTTCTTCGATTATGTACTCATTGCTACGAAGTATATAATTAGACATCTCCCTAAGACAACAAAAGAACCAGAGAACCAGATAACCTATTATAAATATCATTTGCATAGTTTAAAGTAGAGATCCTCTAATTATAAAGGAGATCACAGTTTCTATCATAATCTTACAAGGATGGTGTTATGAAGTTTCTTCCGTAACAACTCTCCTTCACAAAGTTGATGCTCTGCGTCTGCAAGGCGATTTTGCAAATCGTGCATAAGTTGTTTCTGCTCATGATATTCTGTCATAGTATGAGACATAGATTCATCTATCATCTGTAAAAAGTAAAGAAATTTTTAGTATGTCAGTCTAAAGAAACAATTGGCAAAGTAAAGAGTATCTGAAAGTTGGCAGATCACCAATCCATATTTCTCAAGTATAATAAATCACACCATTACCTTAAGCTTTTCCTTAGCAAAAGTTAGTTCCTGCTCCAACATTTTTATACGCTCTTTTTGCAACGAACATGTTTCCTGCCAAATAGGATTGGCATTGTCAGAAAACTAAATATCAGGCAAAATTGAGAACTCATGAGATCCTGATTTTGAACTAACCTCCAAAGATCCTGATTTTGCTATCAGAATGTCCAACTCCTGAGATGACTTTCCCACACTCTCCTTATACATTAGTATCTCATCAGCCAGCTTTTGTGACTGGACTACTTGGCGATCACGATCATCTCGAACTTGTTGGAGCTCACTCCGAAGGTTCTTGACTTCCATCAGCAATGAATCCTTTTGCTTTACCGCTTCATCTTGTGAAACCTTGATCACGGAAAGAAAAGGGAAACAAACTAGTAAGCATTTATATTACTCACAACTTTAGAATTGCAAGAATCACGTCTGTCAGGAATATTTACCCGGCTCAACGCTAGTTGATCTTGTAGTGATTTACTGTGACCTCTAAGAGTAGTTAGGTTCTCCACTATACTTGACTTTTCTTTTTCAGCACGAGTATGTGCCTCTCGAACTGCTTCAAGATCAGTCTGGAGTTTGGTGTTATATTGCTGCAAACTTGTGTTGTACTCTTGCAGCCTTTTGTACATATCTTCAAGGGACGTCACCTAGAAAAAGAAGAAAAAAAATCCACTTAACACAACAACGAAAAGACTATACCAAGTGCTAAGAGAAGTAACAGAGAATGAAACACCTCAACACAATAACCGAGGAAAAATCTGCTGTACCTTATGCTTAGCAACCATTTTCTCTTCTTTCACTCTGTCAAGCTCTTCTCGGATAGTATCATGAAGCTTCTCAGCTGCAACTCTACGTTCTGTTTCTCTTCTGTGGTCTTCAATTGCATCCTAGTGTTCATAACCAATTAGATCAAAACCTTACTCCATTTCCATTATAGGCAGAAAAACCAAACTTAATAATCCACATTCTCCTTACCAACTTGTTTAACTCCTCTTTTGAGAACATTTCTTGTAGTGATGCTATCTTCTCCTTCATCTCTGCTATAGTTGCTTGTAGCCTTTCCTCTGTGTTCTTTGCATCCAACTCTACAAGTAATTTGAAACCACGTCTATATATTCAGTATACACAAATTAATGTTATGGAAAAAAGACATGATGGAAACTAAAATCACCTTTTTCATTGTATCTTTTCTCTGCAGATTCCAGAGAAGAAGTAAGATTCTCCCTCTCCTGGACATGTGTTTCTTCCACTTGTAATTGCCATCGAACACAAACCTTAAGCTTCTTGATAATATCCGTCATTTGCTCAATCTTACCCTGTAGTTACCACAAGGATCCCAATAAGAAAAAAAAACATCATTCAAGCAATACAAACAATTATTAGCTATCAATTAACAAACCTTGGTATCAAATTTCCCAGCTTTTGCTCTCTCATTAAGCAAAGCCAAGACTTCATCTTTTGTAAATTCGACTTTGCTACAATCATCAGTGCTGCCCACATCGCTGTTCGCCGTAACGTCTTGTCTGTTCACCGTCGAAAGAACTTGTCTTCTTCCACCATTACCTTGTGCTTCCACTCTCCTTCGCCTGTCCAAAGTAACACTCGAGAGAGCTTCCTTTTTCTATAACACAGTTCAAAATCAAAAACATCAAAAAATAAGTAAAGCCACAATTTTTTTTTCTTTTAATCAAATTCTAAGAGTACCCATATAACAGGATGTACCCATATGTCACAAAAAACCCTAATCCAAACAATTACATTGAAACATATCACTCTGGGGATTTTCATCACCCACCCATCTAAATCTAACTCAAAAGGTTAGGATGTGAAAGTTAATTGAAGAGGAAGGTGAAGGGGAAAAATAAAATTAAACTTACGACGTTTGGACTAGGCAAAGGAGCTCGATTCTGGTTGCGAAGCAGCGGCATCTTTAGAGGAACCTTCTGATTGATTCCGTCACCTTAATATCGATCCGAGGGAAGGCGCAGATTGAGAAAAAACAAGAATAAGACACAGATCTTGTTTCTTGTGAATCCGATAGGGAGAGATTAGGGTTCTTGAGTTTTCCTAATTGGGAGATTTTTATTTTGATGAAAGAGGAAGGAGAAGGAGGAGGAGGAGGAGGAGGAGCCTTTGTGATTTTGAATATTTGAAAACAGATCGGCGGACTCGTAGATACAGAAAATTGTAACGTTACTCTCTGCTTTGTCCTCCTCGATTTATTTATTGTATTATTATGTAAACTAATTCATATTTAAATAAAATTGGTAAAAGTTATTGGGTCCATTATTGGGTTTATATACTTAAAAACCTCGGCCCATATATGTTAAAAGTTATACATATTTTCCTTTTTTTTTTTCTTTTTTGGCTGGCTAAATAAAAACTAAGGAAAGAAAAATATAGTAAGATAATCCAATTTATTTATGGTTAAAATTTTGTTATTTTATTTTAATTGATTTTTAATATTAGTTAAGTTATATTGAAATGGATGTATTGTCACAGTTTTCAGTTTATGTTAATCATGATTACATCCATATTTAAATAATTGTTGAAAAAAGTATAGGTTCTCCATTATGGGTTATTTTGACTTAAATGCCTCGGCCCATAAATGTTAAAGTGATACATATTTTCCTTCTTCTTTTTTGCTGGCTAAATATGGCCATATGAGAAAGAGAATAAGTAGGAATAGGATAGTTCAATTTGGTTTATGGTTGTTTTTTTTTTCTTTTAAAGTAGAGTTATTGATTTAGTACTCTATTGGTTCCTTGTTAATGTACTTTATAGAAAACAATTGTATCAAAAAGATGTATTTTTAAGTTATCTATGTATTATTAACTAAGATTTGCAAATTTCAAGGTAAATAACTAAATACTATTGGTTTAAAGTTCTAAGAAAAAGTATAATTCACAAAAATTGATGTAGTGATAATCAACTTTTAAAATTTTTCTTTATCTGTATGAAAAAATCTAAAAAGTACATTAATTAGGAACATGGGGAGTATAAGTTTATATAAAAAAAAAATAGAATATAGATTTTGAAATCACAGTAATGGGTTATCAAAGTTAACATTTTGTTTTCTTATATATTTGAACTCCAGTTTATATTCCAACTTTTTTTAAAAACTAATTTTGGAGATTTTAGGTTTATAATGTTTTTATTGGTTTTGTTAAGTGAAATTCATTACCGTCATTACAAGACAGCTGCTTTCAGTTGATCTGTTTAGATTTAAATTAAAATCTGTAATTAATGTTAATGTTATATTATCCATATTTTTCTGAAGTTCTTAACATCATTTTATTTTCCTGATTTTTCAAGAAAAAAGAACACAAACTGGAGGAATAAAGGAATATGATATTCCAATCATATATATGATTAATTTGTAGGAAAAAATGAAATGGATGGGATTTTTATACTTTAATTTGGAGGTTTTAATTTTTGGGATTAGAATCGATAATTTAAGCAAAGTTATAAGATTTTAATTTCTTGTTTCTGTAGTTAGTTTGGTTTTGGTACTTTAGTTTTATTTAAACAAACTTTTTGTTTAAATCAAACCTTTTTTTTTTGAATATATTTGAACAGAAAAACGAAAAAAAAAAGAAAAAAAAAACAAAATCCAATAATTGAATATTTTGTTTGGATATTTTCAGTATCCAATAACTACAAATCCGAAAACACCAATTAGCTTAGCTTTAACCGAATTGGTCCACATCATGCTGCCACGTGACAATCGCAGTCTGGGCAACACTCGATCTCAATCCTACGTGGCGAAATTGAGAATCAAGATAACACGTGTCGACATAATAGTGGTTAAAACCATATCCGAGTAATCTAAAGAAACAATGGGAATAAGATAAGGTGTTCTTTGTCACATAACCAAACATGCAAAACCAAAAATTATAACTCAAACGCAAATCTTCTCTAATCAAATTATTCAAATCAGAACCCCAAAAGAAAAAAAAAAAAGAAAATATCTGACTCAAAACGAAATGGCTCAAGCAGTGACTTCGATGGCTGGCTTACGTGGCGCATCTCAGGCTGTCCTAGAAGGAAGTCTCCAGATCAACGGCTCAAACCGTCTGAACATCTCAAGAGTCACGGTTGGGTCTCAGAGAACCGGACTTGTGATCAGGGCTCAGCAGAACGAGTCGTCGGTTCCTGAAAGTAGTTCTCGCAGGTCAGTGATCGGGCTCGTAGCTGCTGGTTTAGCCGGTGGTTCGTTTGTTAAAAATGCATTCGCTGAAGCTCTTGCGATCAAAGTTGGTGGTCCTCCACTTCCTTCCGGTGGCTTACGTAAGTACTAAACTACTTAACAATAATCTTAATTTAGTCCGGTTTAATCTCCGGTTTGGTTTGAATCGATTTGGTTTCTTCCGTTTTATTACAAAAGTGTATAGATCTGTTTATTAATTTTAAAAAGATATAAGTTTCGGTTTAATTAGGATTAGGTTTTAGTGATTCATCCATTTAAACCAAATGAAAATCCGGTTCATGTCACAAACCGGTCTTAATTATATAGATTATAGAGACCGATCGGTTCTGTTGCGTTTGATTGATTTGTTTGGCTTTGATGTGTGTGTGAGAGCAGCTGGAACAGATAACTCAGACCAAGCAAGAGACTTTTCATTGGCATTGAAAGACAGATTTTACTTACAGCCACTGTCTCCAACAGAAGCTGCAGCAAGAGCCAAAGAATCTGCTAAAGAGATCATTAACGTTAAGTCACTGATCGACAAAAAAGCTTGGCCTTACGTTCAGAACGATCTCCGTTTAAGAGCATCGTACCTCCGTTACGATATCAACACTGTTATCTCCGCTAAGCCTAAGGGAGAGAAACAGAACCTTAAGGAACTTACCGGCAAGCTCTTCCAAACCATCGACAACGTAAGCTTTCTTTTCTTGCTTTAGGTCTTTTTTTGAAACTGGTTTCTTGGTGAACAAGTTAGAGTGTTTGGATTGATCTGAGATTGTTGTATTCTTGATGTGGAAGTTGGACCATGCGGCAAAGTCAAAGAGCAGCCCAGATGCTGAGAAGTATTACTCAGAAACCGTCTCAAGTTTGAACAATGTTCTTGCCAAGCTCGGTTAATAGAAGAAAGATGGGCTTTGTAATGGGATGACGTCGATTCGTTATTATTATTACAATCCAAGTAATACTATGTCTTATCCTCCTCTTCTTGGCTAATCAAATCGGTATATTTCTAATTTCAGTTTCAAGATTTAACCAGTACGTATATTGGCTAAAGACTCTTTAGCAGAACACTATACTACGGATGATAGCTAATTCTAGCTATCTAGGCTAGGTGATCATTCCCACATGCATCGTTAGTTGCATCACCTGTTTCAAGTATTTATAATACTTTAGGCACAAACTTAGTTTAGTAGCATTTTAGAATATTTCTCTTCAAATTAAAATGGAAATTAGTAAAACAATTTCTCAAGTTTTTAGTCTCAAAATAAAGCTGAATTAATTGCAATTCTTTGATTGAAGAGAACAGATAAAGTTTTTTATATAACTTAGATAGACGTGTGATTAGGTCAAAGGCCGAGGAAACACTTTTTGATCTAAGTTATTTTGTTCTTCTTGTTAATCTACACTTTTAATTTTCTAAACTTTTCCCACTCCACGAGATAAACTAAACTTTAGATTTTAATCATAAACAATGACAATAACAAATTTAAGATATGACAAGAGGAGGTTAGACCGGATATGGTCGTGTAATTGGTATGCCTTAAAGCCAAATAAACAAGTTTAATATGTGCTTAAGGTTAAAACGTCATAAGGTTGACCGAACTTTTACTTCTTATGGAATCAAGAGGATCGAAGTCACATCCATATTTACTCTGATGTCTTAACACACCAAAAATACATTAGATTTATAATATACTAACATATCAAATTTGACGATATGATAAGGAAAACATAACAATGATGACGGCTGTTAAGCTAAACGAGCAAAGTCAAAGAAATTGTGATTAAGTTATAATCAAGTCTTTACTTTAACAAGAAAAAAACTTATAATTGTAAGTAGTTAGACATGTTTAGTTCAGGGAATATTTGTTCCTCGAAGCCAAATTGACTAAGACTGCAAATCTGATTTTTAAAACGAAAATAACTAACCAACATTCATTAATATTATATACATGTAACAATATAGTATAAGATTAGATAAGTTAACCAAATAATTCAGTTAACTAATCGACTAATAGTGGAGTTGTGTGGTTAAGGAGTCAAATCAGATGACATGAGCATATATGTACGTAGTAGTATTATTGAAAGAAGATTTGGGAACATTTCCAAAGTAAAAATGAAGACAACCCCTAAAACCCAAGAGAGTTCGATTGGGTGGTATGACTTAATCCACACAAACGTATTATCTATTAATTAATTTTACTTGTATGTCAACATTTTGACTTATATGATATTTATTCATTATTTAATAAACCTATTTAATAAACCTTTAGTATCATTTTTGCTACAATATCTATCAAACCCACCTTGAGGTCCTTGATGAAATCAAACTGTTCTTGGCCAATTTTTAAATTTCGGCATTCCTTTTTTTTTTTTGTTTCATTCACAGAAAAACGGTTTTTGTCAAATAATGTTCGATCCAAGTCTACATATTCTTATTCAAAATCAAATTGGTATTGTCTTTAGTCCATTTGCCAAAATTATGCACATTAAAAGGTACAAAAATGAGAACAAAACCATATAAATAGAGATTACCTAACCAAATTTGAAAAAAAAAAACACAGCTCTTTACTAAAATCCAAATATAAACTCATTTCTTGCTTTATCCAATCCCTTCAAATATCAATATTTTCAAGTCATTCCAAAAGAGTAGCTATTCGTGTTTTCATTAAACAATAAAACTTGTTCAACGTGGACTTTAGTTTAGTCTATCAAATATATATAATACTTCTGATCTTTTTTTGCGAAAGATATATATTTGCATTTGTGTTTACTTGTGAAGTTAATATTCTTTCTCTTTTTGCGAAAGATACATTTTTCTGTCAAACACATTTTGAAAAAAACGTAAACTGAAAAACTAGATCATATAACAATGTTAATTCTAATATATATAGTCTACGTTCTTTAATTTGTTACAACTTACAAATGATTTATATTAAAAAATTACATTATTTTATGATATAATTTAACGTAAACACGAACACAAGAATACGTCCATTAAGATACGTTGTTTTCATGATAATCAATAGTTGATACATATGGTTAAGAGGGTAGCTAAAGATGTCTTTTTATAATTAAATTTATTAAATTAGGTAGATAAAAATGTTGTTTAACAATTATATTATTCCGTTTAAACTATTAATTTTGATGGATTCAAGCATCAAGCCTACATATAAATACAATATGTAAATCAACATGTCTCATGCAACTCCAAACATTTCCAAAATACACAAACAAAAACTATAACATGACGGAAGAGTTTGAGATCGCCGGAATTTCCACCGGAACTTGGTGGAGTTCGCCAACAAACACCGCCGCAGTATTCTCCGGCTACTCACTGCCACGTTCCACTGAGATTAGCCTTGATGCCACAAATTTCGGATGGCAAAACATCGAAAACAAGATTAACGATCATAACGATGGTTTCATGAACATGTAAATCCACCCACACATGCGATATTTTATTTTATTATTTACATAGTAAGATTGGACTTTCTAATATCATCTCTTTTCTATTTCTTGAAGGCATAATAGTTTCTTCGAAGGATTTTTCGATCCAAACGAGCAAGTACTATCAGATTCTTGGACAAATACTACTACTCCTAACACGAAACCCGCGCTGCTCGAAAGCTTTCCGCTCTTTGATAACATGTTCTTGATCGATTCAGAAGCTGAATCTTTCTTGGATAATGAGATCAGAATCCATAAGTATAAGGAGCAAAATACACAAGACAGCAAGATTGTTACTTCAAAGGCACGTAACTACTAATACACAGTCGAACCTAATTAGTTTTTATTTTGACTAGTATTGTTAGACTCTCAAATTAACATTACAATATATGTGATGAATCTTTCAGAGAAGTGACAAGCCTGAAGAACTGGAAGAGAACAGCGACGAATACTCACCGCGGCTACTAAAAAGACCAAGACTTGAGACTCTATCTCCATTGCCAAGCTTCAAAGTTCGTAAAGAAAAACTCGGAGATCGAATCACTGCGCTTCAGCAACTTGTTTCACCATTTGGCAAGGTAAATCAAAAGACTTCTATTTATTTGCATAGTTTTTATTTAAGCTCATCATGAGATTGATCTTTTAATCTCTTTACAGACAGATACAGCTTCTGTTCTCAACGAAGCTGTAGAGTACATCAAGTTTCTTCAAGAACAAGTAACTGTAAGTTCAAATTCTTTAATTTCATTTGCTGTCAAAACAAAATCAACTAATTAATTAATATCTAGTATGATTATTTAAATTTGAGAAATAGGTATTGAGTAATCCAGAGCAGAACACCATAGGATCTGTTCAACAACAGCAGGTACTTAAAATTAGTTATATGTTTTAACAACTCTTTTGCTTGTCCTTTTGCTTGTGATATCAAGAATCTTTTTTAGAAACTAATCATCACCAATTAATGATTCTTGAATATTGATGATTATAATAGTGTTCAGACAAGAAACCTATCAGTAGTACTCAAGAAGAAGAAGAAGAATGTAGCTCAAGAAGACATGTAGATCTCGCTAGCCGTGGGCTCTGTCTGATGCCGATCTCAGCTTCATATCCGGTGGCTGCAGCCGCGGCTTCCGCTGAAGAGATGAACACGTCTGATTTTTGGAATCTTCCGTTCTGTTTAAACTTATAAATTAGACAAGATCGATAATACATAACCAAAAAAAAGTTATATCTCTTCCACAGTTCCACATAGAGAGGATCTTGTAAAGTTTGATGTCTATATTATATAGAAATGTAAATGTCTTGTATACTTAATTCAAAGCACACAGTATATTGTTTGTTTGCGTTTACTTTCTTCTTTGTACATTTTTAATCTTCTAAAATGAACATACTTTTTTAATTTGCTTAAGTCTTTGAAACAAAACAATTTTGTTTGGACTTTGCAGAAAATGCTTAATAGAAAAACCTGAAAAATGGTTAGACCCCTTTTGAAACTATTTTCCCATCTAAATACAAATTACATATGTGAGATATATATATACTTAAACCATTAATTATAGATTATCTGTATATTTTGGGAAAAAGGTTGTATAAGGGTTATATCAAACTTTCCACCTATAAAACCCTTTACCAACTCAGCTATAACTTTTATAAATAATTAGCAGCCGTTAAAGATGATTATACATGAATATGAAGCTTCAAGATCAACTTTTCCAGCATGAACTCAGAGCCAACTATGCAGAATCTTAGGCATAATAACGTTCGAAACAGTTCAAAGTCCCAAACAATTGACTTTTGCGGTTGGTAGATACTTTAGCAAACTGCTTGTGTACTTTACTAATTTACGCGTTTGATTAGAGAGATTAAGAGAGTTTGCAAAAGAAGATGTGGTTTAACAAGAAACACTTAAAAAACCAAAATAGCTACTTTGTGTCCCTTGTTACAACAACTCCTTAGTCATAACTTACGACCTTAACGTACTTGTTTTAGTTTCTCCAAAGTGTTTAAATACACACACACATGCTCAAAAATTGAAAAATAACCCTTGAAGAAACAGAGTTTATTGCTACATTTGAACAATTTATAAAACCATTATGGCCTGTTTGTATATCCTAAACAAACGAAAGAAAAAATGTAGTAACCTTTTTGGTATTGGACTGTTTATTATTTTATTCACTTATTTGGTTTGTGTAGCCGTTTAATTTGAAATGGTACATAAATATGGTGAAACAGGCGAGACAAAACAGAGATTCTGATGTTCTATATCCGGTAGTAAAAAAGATTCTTCACATCTTGGATCTTACTTGCTGAACAAGTTCTCTTCTCAAGATTTTACCAGCAGCAGATTTTGGAACACTCTTAATGAAGCTCACTCGTCGTAACCTTTTGTAAGGAGCGACCTGGTAAAAGCAAAACAATGGTTTTGACTTTGATATTTAGAGAAGAAAGAAAACAAACACACCGATACAATAGATTCGAAAGATTTGGGTCATAAGTGATTATTAACCTGTTTGGCTATGAACTTTTGAATATCTTGCTCTGTTATTGAACTATTTGGTGAGCGGACAACAAATGCAATTGGAACTTCACCTGCTTCTTCATCAGGGAACCTGCAACATATACACATGTTAATGTGTTTGGGAAAAGGAATCAACTCAATATTTTCTGATGTATTGAACTAAGATTATATGACTCACGGGATAACAACAGCATCTAGTATTTCGGAATGGGATACAAGTAGACCCTCTAGTTCAGCTGGAGCAACCTAGATATGTCAAACCATTTGTTATGATTTCATTTATATAAAATTTCGAGGTTTGGAAAGTGAGAAGAAGAATGAGAAAATTAGGAAGTGACAGTGAAACCTGAAAGCCTTTGTATTTGATTAGTTCTTTGATTCGATCAACAACATAAAGGTTACCATCCTCGTTGAAGTAACCAAGATCTCCTGTATGTACCCAACCTTTTTTATCTATTGTTTCTTTAGTAGCCTGAGGGTTGTTGAGATACCCTGAAAGAGAATTGGTTTACATTACTTTCGAATGTATGAAAAGCTATAAATATATGTAGGAATGAAAATTCTCAAACCTTTCATCATGTTAGGTCCTCGAACCCATATTTCGCCTAATTGATTAGGGGGCTGAGATTTCCCAGTTTCTACACTCACTATCTGAGCTTCAACACCTGGAGCAAGCATTCCCGCTGATCCAGAGTTTCGTTTCCCTAGTCTCGGGTCTTCGACAGAGACTATTCCAGACGTTTCAGTCATTCCATAGCCCTGAAGAAATCATAAAACACCTCTTTTTGCATCATTCAAACAATCATCCATACCAACGGATTCAAAAAATCTTATACATTTTGGCCTGGTTCTTTACAAGCAAACATCCATGAATTAGCTAATGTCTAAGTCACAAACCAAGAACAGGATCTGAAACCAAAGTCTTATTTACCTGCATAAGCAAAACATTAGGGATGTTTCTTCCACACTCCTCCATCAAATCTTTCCCAAGAGGAGCAGCTCCTGACCCAATGTATTTAAGTGAAGAAAGATCATACTTTTTCACAATACTTTGCTTGGAAAGAGCAAGGAACACAGGGGGAACAACCCAAAGATGAGTAACTCTATACTTCTGAATGTTCTTAAGAACCAACTCAAGCTCAAATTTGGCCATGGAAACCAAAGCATTCCCTCTCTGAAGCTGAGAATAAACAATCACAGTCAACCCAAACACATGAAACATGGGAAGAAAACACAAGAACACGCCGTGATACTCTCCCATGAGATCTTGATCCATGGTCACCATCAAAGACGCAGCTATGAAATTCCCATGAGTTAACTCCACACCTTTGCTTGTTCCTGTAGTTCCTGACGAATACAACAATGCAGCTGTATCTGATTGCTTAACCTCAACGTACGGGAACTCAGAAATTGGCTCAGAGAGTTCCATCACGTCATTGAAACTGAGAACCTTCGCATTCGATTCCGAAGGAACCTGAACTGAATCTCCAGATCCGAGTAGCACGACGGGAAGATCAAAACCCTTGATTCTATCGAACAATTGATTAACAGAGATAATAATCTTCGGATTCGAATCCTTGATCTGTTTAGAAACCTCATTAACGGTATAAAGAGGATTTGCGGTGGTGAAAACGCCTCCGATGGCAGTTACGGCGAGGAAACAGAGAGGGAACTGGTAAGAATTAGGAGCGAAGATCAACACGGCGTCGTTTTTACGAACACCTAGACGGTGGAACCCGTGAGCTAGTCTAGCGACGGCGGATTTGAGCTGAGAGAAGGTTAAGGATTCGCCGGAATCAGAATCGGCGAGAGCAAGCTTCGATGAGTAAGATGATGAATTACGGAAGAGGAAAGAGACCAACGATGTGTTTGGATCTTTGGGAAGAACGAGCGTTGGACGAAGTGATCTGTAGATTCCGTCTCTGCCATAGCCGGACTTTTCCATATTTTCCGATCTCGGAGGATAAGGTGTGAACTGTGTGGTGTGTGATGAAGAAAAGAAGAAGACGATCACTATTTCGGAATTTTGGATTTATTCGACGTAAACGTTACAATTTGTATTTTTAATTATATCTTAATCAAATTATATAATCACATATTATGAGTTTCAAAACTTAAGGACTCTATGATTTTGATTTGATTGAAAAAGTCAACTAAAAATAATTCATTGTGACGTAAGTCCGTAACCATCATATATTTTTGATAGTAAAATAAGGGATTTTAATTATTCCTTTAGTATTATTTTCAATTTATGCATTATACTCAAAAGATCGTTAAAAACTAGGATTCTGGTATGGTACGAAGTTTATCATAGCCATAGGCAGATAGGCTTCAAGCACGACGCAAATGCTATTTGTTTTTTGGTTTCCTAAAAGGTGATGTCTTTGCTTGCACAATCGTGGAGTGGGAAGAAGTAACCTTTGAGAATGATTCTAGGCTTTCTCATTCTAAGCATAGAAGGATGCTACACTAACACCAGAAGGATGAATATGGTTTCTTCTGAGACTAACTTTTAGGTTTCAGTGTTATCAAACAGATATAACATGTGCACCTAGATTCTTAGCCCAAAACTAGTGTTTGTTTTCTTCTTTCTTTCATATTTTCATCTACTAGATCTTTTTTTTTGGTTAGCTTGTAGTACTCTTTCTTAGCTAATACCAATTATGGAAAGATACACATTTTTGTATGAATATGTGTTCACACATTTTTGGTTGACTAAATAAAATATGTGAAGGTTTAAACATAATATAAAATTGGATAATGTTATTATTGGGTTTTACTGTTCATTATAGTTTGTATTACACACAAAATAAAAAATTAACTTTAAAATAGTTGGAAAACAACAAAAATTATTACACAGTTCACACAGAGTATCGAAGTGACAAAAACCCGAATTTTTTTATCATTCTCATATTTCTCTTCTTGAGCCAGCTAAGAAGCCCGACCCGGATCCGAATCCGTTTCGTTTCTGTATTGTTGTTGTTCTTCTACGCCAGGAACAACCATACCAGGGTGATGCTGATACATTTGAACCGGACCGGGTTGTTTCATTCCATAATATCCGTTTCGGTTAACTCCATCCACTGCTATCATAACCGGCCTAACCGTTCCACCATACACTTGACCCGGACCAGTCATCTGATGAGGCTGAGGCTGGTGGTATCCCATTGGTACATGATGGTATTGTTGAAGATACTGACCCGGCATTTGAACCGGTTGTACCATATGATTACCCTGTTGAACCATATGATTACCCTGCTGAACCATGTGAGTACCCGGAACCGAACCAGGAACGTAATAAACCGGTGTCTGGTGAACGGCATGACCCTGGTAATGAACCTGTGGACCAGGGGCGTATTGCCATTGGGAGTTACCCGGGAGATTACCCTGTTGAATTACTTGCTCCGGTTGAGAATCAGATTTCGGAGTCGAAACCAGTTCAGGACTTTCCGGTTTAGTTAAAACCGGTGGTTGAAGTTCCGGCGTAGATGATCGCATCACAGGAGCCGAAGACGTAGAACCATACGGCGAAGGAATATCACGACGAGGAGAACCAGGATCCGAAAGCGTCGAAACCTCTCTTCTGATCTTAGCTCTGGGATCACGATCACGGAGCTCATGCGGTGGAGCAGTTTCATCGAAGTTATCCAATCCGAATAAGTAATCAGGAACTTCCGAAACAATCGACGAGACTTCAGATCGAACACGCTCGAACACTCTACCGGAACCACCGTTAGATGCGGCAGTAGCGGCGGCGGAAGAGCCGAGATTAAGAGCGTCGAGAAACCATTGCTCTCGATTAACAGAGCTATCGAGGAGTGAGCTGATACT